AAAGGAGAAGAAAAAAGAACAGCGGTGTATTTCCCTGATTAAACTTTGATGTGAAGATATTCGCCAGCCAGCATCTAACACGCTCTGAGAAAACGTAGCTCATTCTGCTCTCACAAGAGCCCTGCGAGTAAAGGTGCTAGTATCTGGCTTTACAAAGGAGCAAACAATGTGAGACCCTGATCCAAGCTGCTGATCCAGAAGGGCAAGCCCGGGCTCCAGCCCAGGCCTCTTCGTGACAGTCCAAGTTCTTATCCCTCCTCAGGGTCCCTGTGTAAAAATCCTACAGCTTATCCTGGGAATCAAATCTAACTTGACCCTAATTACAGGAAATGTACCCACAGGGCTACTATGCACCAGGTGCCATTTTAAGCACGCTACACAGCTTAATCCACTCCATTCACCCTATGCATATGGACTGCTGCTGTCATTCCATATAACAGATGGGGAAACTGAGGTCCCATGAGATTGTGTACCTTGTATAAACCGGCACGAGGCTCATCGGTGGAGTGAGGACTGTACCTCATACAGTGTGCGTCCAGAGTCCCCCTCTCAGCCCAGGTGCTCCCCTGCAATGTCTGGACAGGATGCTCCAGGACACTCGCCACGGCTGACCAAGGGCACTGGTGCTCCCACTCTCAAGGCTCTCCAGCTGACCCCGTGGCACAGGGGCCCTGCCTGGCCTTGCCAAGAGGGTTACAAACCCACGAGACTTCATATACACAACCACCACCAACCCTTACAAAGGGGCAGTGTGCTTTTTGTTTTTTAAGTAGGCTCCACACCCAACATGGAGCCCAGTGAGGACTTGAACTCACAACCCTGAGATCAAGACCTGAGCTGAGATCAAGGGTCAGACCCTTCACCAACTGAGCCACCCCGGCGCCCCAGGCCAGTGTGATTTACAACCAGCAAGGTACTTCCGATCCCAGGGCTCCCTTCCTCTCCTTATTGCAATTCAGTTTTTTAAAAGCCCCGTCAGAATTGCCTAGAACACAAAGGTGGGACACTAAGGTGTCACAGGGGCAGAATCAGCCATCTCCTTCTAGACCCCATCATGACTCAGGTAGCAGTAGGGATGGAGGCCGTCCCGCTGAAACCCTCCTGGCTCATGCCTCCCCCAGACCAGTGCAACCCACACTGACCCCATGCGCTGTTACCCCTATCTTAGTCTGCAAGAGGTCAGGAGAAATGAATCGCTTTGCTTAAGATAACGGAGAATGGGTCCCAGAACCTAGAGAGACTCAGATAAATGGCAACAACAACTATGAATGAGTCAGTGCCTGGGAGAAAGGAGGCTGTTGCAGGGAGGAGGGCAGGGACAGGACAAAAACCGTTACATGTGGCTCTCAGCCACTTGCCAAGGACTGTTCAATGGAACGTGTGATGGACAAAAAAGGAGCAGTATTACTCAGGGCTCAGCTGTAAAAAAAAAACAAAAACAAAAACAAAAACCACAAGTTTTTATTTGTCTAATTTTACAGTTTCCTTTAAAGAGATTCCCCCCTTGTTTGTCCTGAATGTAATGTATATGTGTGAGTATATAAAGGAGAAACAAAATGACAATTCAAAAAAAAAAAAATCTTTTAATAAAAATTACTCATAAAAATCCTAATAAATTTCAAAGAACAAGATATTTCTTAGTACATTTATAAAAGAACATTTGGTCCTTTTACAAAAAGCTCCCTCTTAATTTAAATACATTTCTTATTTACAGATTAAACATAAAATACCATCTATAGTTGCAAAGCATATTGCACATTACAGAGAGAGAAGCATGTGTATATCTCAATAGGTTTTCCCAGAGTTTCCAACTCCAGATTTTTTTTTGTAAAAACAGATTTACCTTTCTTGTGCATAATAAATAAAAATGCAGCTTGTGTTTTGCTATTTAAAACTAAAACAAAATACCTTTTAAAAATATTATTTCTCTGCCTCTCAGAAAGAGGGAAAGGGGGTAATGAATCAGGAAGGTCCACAGGTAGATTTTCCCGGATTCACATCCAAACTCCAGCAGGAACAGAACCCTGAGCCCTGCAAACCTGGGGACACACAGCCCAGCCAGCCCACCTTCCCTCTTTCACAAGGGTCCCTGCCCTGCAGGGAAGAGGCACTAGAGAAGGAGCTGGATGCCTGGAAATGGAAAAGGAAAGACCAAGATTTCCTTCAAAAGTCCCTGCTCAGGTACTCTGGTGAAAGCAATCATTTAGCCCTACCTTTTCACCAGCATTAAATTTGAAAGCCTCAAAAGAGGAAGACCTCTGGAGCCCTCCAGAGATCAGAAAAGGATGCCTGATGTTCAGTCCACAAGATCCGAAGCAAAGGATGACAGTTTGCAATCACCCAGTAAACTGAGCTAAGGAAATAGCTAAGAGGGTATTTTTCTTGGGGGAGGGGAGGGGAGGGAAGGAGGGGGTGCCACGTTCAGGCCCTCAGATTGCACACAGAGCCTCCTCTAAAATCCACCTGCACAGACACCACATAATGACTTTAGTGACCTGTGCGTGCCCCCTGATCTGGGACAAGCTGGGAACCTGCAATTAGGAATTCAGGTAGAAGAGCTGGAACAAACTGCAGGCAAGATGTGAACACTGGAAGCTGGTTCTTCACAAAGGCCAGCAGCGCTGGACGCCAGCCAACACTTCCCCTGTCACCTACTATTCTGGAAATGGAGCTCCTCGGTCACATCACCGGAAGCAGCAAAGCCTGCCCTGCACCGGCTGAGAACTCTGTGGTAGGAGATTTACACTGCCTGGCCTAACTACAGGGCAGCTTTCTACAAGAGTTTTGCAAAACCACATTCCTCATGTCGACCAAAGCAGACTCCAGACACTAGCTACACAGGGGAACTTGAGGATGGTGCAGGCTCACAGCTGTTCCAAAGGATGAGCTCTGTTCAGAATGAGGGCAGTCCTGGGGCAAAGCACTGAGCAAGGGAACCTCTTCAACACTCCCCTCCCTGACCCTTTCCTACCGGACATCCTGCAACACAGAATAGAAGAAAACAGCAAAAGCCCTGCAAGAGAGAACACAGTTGTTGACATTCTGATTTCCAAAAAGAAAACAAGCAAGCTTTGAACTTGGCTCTAAAGAACGTTCGTTTCATGACTGGCACTAGACAGTGTTACCAGCCCCACAGATCACGGACTAGGCAGCATCGACTTGAGACCGGGGAGTCTGGAAGCTCAACCACCAGGATTGGTGGTCTGCAGTAACACCGTCACCCTCAGTCTCACCAACTGCTACAAGTCAGTGTCCACAAGTCAAGGTGGTTTGTACTTCATACAAAACACATCTCACGCCAGCCTGCAGCCCCTGGCGTGCGTCAGTGGCCCTGGGGCACAGGTCCCTATTCCTGAGCATGAGGAGGATGGAATGCCACAGCAGGGGACAGGTTAAGGGCCCGGACGAGAGGGTGGTATTGGAACGCTACACACCAGTGTCGTCCCAGAAGCTGGAGAGGGAACCTAGCAGGGCCACGAGAGAGGGAACGGATGCCCGGAGGACCCACTTTCTTCCCTGACGTGCCTCATCCCTCCAGCTGGGACATTTACAGTCCCGCCCCGCTTGCCTGGAGAAAAGGTACGGGGACACTGTGCCTGGGTGCACATGCATATGTCAAATGGAACATTTTGATTTTACCAAGTCAACGAAAACACCTACAATATACTATATAGTGTTCTCAAAGGAAATGTTCTATTCAGGAGATGAGACAAGGTCAATAAAGAGAATGCTTCCGAAATGAAGAGAAAAGGTAAAACAGAAGCATTTGATTTTGTTTACAACAATTTGCATAAATATTTAAAAGACAGAGGTGACACATTTATTACTGAAAATCCCTTTTTCAAAATCTCCAAGAACTGAATTCTGTATCTATTTTTTAAAAAACAGTAACACTGAAATTTTCAAGAAGGAATAAAACTTCTCCCTTTGATTGGTATGCAATGGCTCAGACCACACTTCTGGTTTTAAAAAGATGAACAGGAAATCATTTGAAGTGTGCAAGCAGAGACAGGTTGGCAACACGACAGGTAAGGTTGGAGGTTCTTAAGAGACTTCTACCCTTTGTACCAGGATTCATTTCAACCTCAGACGTTATACGGAAGTCAGGCTGAGGGTTCAAATCCACCTCTGCTCTGTAGGAATATTCAGCCTAAGTTCAAAGAGAGACGCTTCTGTTCTGGCTAAGAATATAACAAAGAAAGAAGGCAATGTAGCACAACTTCCTCCTCATGCAGGTTTGCTTAAAATATCATGCTGAAAGGCGAGGACTGGCCAAGAATTTTCCAGAATCTTACTAATACTCATCCCTTCCCCTTTTTCACTGTGGTCCCACCCTGTGACAATTCAAAACAAGGCTGCTAAAACCAGAGCAGCAGCTGTGACAACCAGCGGCCCCAACCAAAATCCTATAAGGCACTAAGCTAAAGCCTCTAGTCAGAGAAATGGCTCAGGGATGCCAGAGAGTCATCTGATCATTTCTTTCTCCCTGACTTAGCTAATTGGCACTAGACACAGAAAACAAAAACAAAACAAAATTCTAACCCAAACATGGTCAGAATTGAGAATCCTTGGTTAGTAAATATGAGATAGATGGAAGCTCAGACATTCTTAGGTATTTTTCTCTCCCTAAAAGGCACCTGGTTCTGGAACTACGGGAGTTCCTCAGGTAAGTTCAAATTAAATGTAATATACCATCCAAAAGATCTAGCTGTGTGACAATTTAAGAGACTGCCTTTTGAAATTCAGATAAAAATTATTCATAAGCAATTAACTTGTAACACTGTGAAGATTATGTGGGGTGCAAATGAAAAACTGAATGATTATCCCCCCTGTGATCCAAAATCGTGGGTGGAGGGAGAGCCAATTATCTAATGAGAGAAAGGATAACAAAATGCAATAAATAGGGATGAACCTCAGGCCCTTTGCACGGAAATTTCGTTCACAGTCCTCTAACAGAGAGGTAGCAATACTGCAGTCACGGCAAGTGCCAGAGACAGGAACACACTTGTCAGATTCCAAAGTGGGAAGCTATGAAGCTCCATCCAAAGATGCCCCATCCACACTGTGCTTATAAAATCAGCATGTCCTAAGAAGCCAACTTCTATGTACCTTCCTACTTCAAATTATATCCTTAAAAAAAATAGGGCATTTTATTGAACAGAAGAGGAAACACTAATGTATGCAAGAATCTGCTAGATGTGTGTGAGGAGCTGGACAGAAATTCCTACACCATCACGGATGGCCAGACTGCCATCCTCTCCCGCTTCAGACTGGTCTCTGCACAGTGTGGGTTCGGCTGTTTCCATCCGGTTTCAGATGAGGCCACACGGAGAAGAGTAGATCAAATCAAGCCAACCATCTGGTCAATCTGCCGCATGTAGATGCTCTTTAAGGGCAGGGAGTATCTCCTCTCGTCAGGAACACGATTGCACTAGAAAGAAAAAAAACAAAGAGGAAAAATATAAACTTTGAATTAAAAATCCAAGTATTAATTGCTCAGGGAATAAATGGGGGTTTCTTTACCTGAGCACTGTTGACGGGTGGGGACCTCCTGTGCACTGCAGGATGCTTAGCAGCACCCCTGGTCTCTCCCGCTAGATGCCCCTCAACCCCTACTCCCCCAGTCATGACAACCAAGATTGTCTCCACACATTGTTCAATGTTCTTTGAGGAGCAAACCACTCCCCCAGCTGAGGACCACTGACCTTTTTTTTTTTTTTTTTTTACCACTGACATCATTTAATACCTTCACTTCACAGGTGAAGAAATGGAGACCCAGGCAGGCTAAAAGACATCCACTAAAGGGCAGAGTGATCAGGACAAGAAGCTCATCCTTCAGGTTCTTAACTTAATCCACCCAGAATTGCAGAAAACACCTTAGCTATTTGAAAATACAGCTGGCCTTTGAACAATGCAGGGGTTGGGGCACTGACCCCGAGTGCAGCTGAAAACCCACATATAACTTCTGACTCCCTAAAAACTACTGATGGCCTGCTGCTGACCAAAAGCCTTACCAAGAACATCAACAGCCGGTTTAACTAGTATTTTGTATGCTGTTATTTTTTTTTTAAGGTTTTATTTATTTATTTGACAGAGACATAGCAAGAGAGGGAACACAAGCAGGGGGAGTGGGAGAGGGAGAAGCAGGGTTCCCGCTGAGCAGGGAGCCTAATATGGGGCTCGATCGCAGGACCCTGGCTGGGATCATGACCTGAGCCGAAGGCAGATGCTTAACCGACTGAGCCACCCAGGCGCCCCTGTATGCTGTATGTATTATACACTGTATTCTTACAATAGAGTCAGCTAGAGAAAAGAAAATGTTATTAAGAAAATCATAAGGAAGAGAAAAATACATTTACAGGACTGCAATGTATTTATCAAAAAACATCCACATGCATCTCAGACCCGCATTGTTCAAGCATCAACCGTACTGTGGTTTTTCTGAGTTTATGGTTCTTCCCATCCACACCTAAAACCTAAATGCTTGACAGAGCTTTTTTTTTTTTTAAAAGAAAAGCCCCTTTCTCCCTTCAAGGGCTGCCCGAACAGCCCTTCATGGGAAGCTCCTCCTCATCCCCTCACGCATCTTCTGAAAAGTGACCTTGGCAATGAAGCCCTCTTTATCTCCCCTGGCAGATTAACTCCTCGCTCCTCTGTTTCAGCAGCACTGCATGCAGCGCCTTATTGACAAATACCTGGGGAGGAGCCGGGCTCCCCACGAGACCCCTCTGATGGACCCACATCGCCAGAGCCCTGAGAGGACTGTCTCCTTCCAGTCCACCTCCTGGCTCCAACACGCGACCAGAAGCTCTCTGTGCCTCCCTTTCCCCACGTGTAACATGAGGAGACCAAAGGCACCTACCCTCGCAGGGCCACTGTGAGATGTTACTGCACATAACCAGTTGGAAAAGGGGCCTGGGCTATGGGAGGTGTTATACACAAATGTTGACTGTAATTACTATTTTTCTGCCCCTAACTCTCCTCCTTCCCTTTCCATCTCAATTAGGCTGTGTTCACCTAGTCTACACTGCATGGCCTTATGGAGATTTGGGGGACCAATCTCTGCTCCGGTCTGTCAACGTAGTTCACAGACTGACGGTAAAGACCTTCAATGGGTGGCAGGCATCTTGACAACAGAGGCTTTTTCTGAGCAGAGAGGCGGCATTCAATGCATGGTGGGATAACCCGGTTTGATTATTTCAACTGACACGGGGTCTCTTTCCCCATCCTCACTTCCAAACCATCCTATTTGACTCAAATCAATACAACTACCTAGGACTCCTACCAGAAACCCCAGGACTTGTTTCTAAATCTTTCCCAGTGATTATCAGGACAGTCGAGGTGTGCTCAGTGAAACTCTGCTTTAAATGAAACTTCGTTCTTCTGCACTTTCAAGAGCATTTCATTAAAAATCACAACGACTGATGACTGCTCTTTTTTCCCTCTTCTACTGCTGGGTGATTTGGCTGGATCTCTTCCATTTGTCCCTCCAGATCCACTCTCTGCCCTTCCCCATCCTGCTCTGGCCCCAGAGGCCAACTCGGCAGATTACACCAAAAGGTCCCCGTGGCCTCTGACCCCTGGTGAGCATCGCCAGTGAGAAGCTCCAGCAGAGGAGAAGGCAGAAGGATGGTCAAGTGTTTACTCTGCTGGTTCCCTTCTGCAAGCTCACTGGAGCTGGCTCGGAAGAACAAGGCTTCTGCCAGGAGCCCCCCGCTCCAGCACGCCTCTCCGCACCCAGGTTCCCGTGACCACGAGCCCCTGCAGCTAGGAGGAACAGTGGCGCTGCTCCCGTGGGTCTCCACACCCTGACGATATCCACGTTAATGGTCTTTTTTTTTTAAAGATTTTATTTATTTATCTGACAGACAGAGAGACAGCGAGAGAGGGAACACAAGCAGGGGGAGTGGGAGAGGGAGAAGCAGGCTTCCCGCTGAGCAGGGAGCCCGATATGGGACTCGATCCCAGGACCCTGGGATCATGACCTGAGCCGAAGGCAGACGCTTAACGACCGAGCCACCCAGGCACCCCTACGTCAACGGTCTTTTGTGAAACCTTCTTCAATGACCCAGTCTGGATGCCACCAATTTTCTGTCAGGGACTCTGGATGACAAGTTTGTATTATTTTCTCCTCGTCCACATGCCAACCACCCCTGAAGAAAGCAACTTACGTTGGAGCTGGAGTTGATGACTTTTAACTCGGGTGATTTAGGCCTGTGCACAGACTTCCCCTCTTGGTCCTGCCCCCCGTCTTCGGAAAAGAATTCCTTCCAGGGTGATTCCCGAAGATGTTTATCCACAGATACAATGTGTCCCTCAGTTGTAAACATGTATTTGGTTCCAGATTTGTGGACTGGATTCTCCTCATCAAATAGCTAGTAGGAAAGGAAAAAAAAGAAAATAAAAAAGATAGAACTGGTAATTGTAGCACATTTGGAACAAACTCAGTCAAGTATGTCCCAGACTATTCAGGAAGTAGAATTTGCTGGGTCCTCAGGCTTTTCAGTGACAAATGGGTGGAAAGGTGGTTCCCAACTCTGGCTGCAAAGCAGAATCACCAGTTTTGTTTAAATCCAAATGCCTGAATTTCCCCCATCCCATCCCACCCTGCTCGGACCTAAAGATTCAGAAATCCCAGGGCTGAGCCCAAACTCACGTAGTCTATAAAAGCTCTTCCCTGAGAGTTGTGGCACTAGAATTCTAGAACTATCCCCTCCTCGCACACACCTAGGTCCTACACTGGAAAATGCTGGAAGGAAAGAAGCAAATGCTTTATCCTTCACCATATCCCAGGGCCTGGCACAGAGCATGACACCTGTGCCATCATCCCACTGATTCCTGTCAGAACACAGGCGGGGCTCTGAGGACAGAGAGCAGTCCTTTCCTTCAACAGGAGGAATGTGGCAGGAGCATCCAGAAAGAACACCTAACTGAATACAGGGCAGGTCGGTGAGGGGAGGAGCCAGGTGTCTAGTAAATGTTAAATGAGCAAACATTCAAAACAGAAATCTCAGTGATGGAAGAAACCTTACAGTCACCTGAAGTACTGTACAGATGAGGAAAAATGAGACTCGGCACAACTTGTCTGTGTTTCCACAGCTAACAGGAGGTCTAGGTTTTCTCGCCCCAGACCCTATGGTCTCTCCTCTAGAACAGCCTAGGACATCTCCTTCACTCGCTCTAGAATTCACCCTGCGAACACCCCAGGCACCACGGGCTGCTGAACAGGGATGCACACCAGGCTCTTATCAGCCTGCAGCGGCCAGCCTGGCCTGGAGGCACGCACCGAGAGGGAGGCCTAGGCCCGCACGGGGACCTGACGGCAGGCCGGCCAGCTTCCCATGCGCTGGACTATGTGGGCGGCTGGTGGGCACGCCTCCTCTGCAGTGTCCTGTGAAGAGTCACACCAGATTAGACTGGTAATTCCAAACCTTGGCTCTGTAGAGAATCACAAGTCACTTGTCAGAATTACAGATTCCTGAACCCACTTTCTGTCGATTCTGATTCAAGAGGGCTGTAATTTTAACAAGGGCCCTAGCGTGATTCTGACCCAGCTGGCCCCCGGGGCCTGGGAACCAGGAACCTCAATAATGCAGCCTATCACTACTCCCCTATTCCCTTTGAATCTCAGCCTCCACACTGCTTTCCCACCAGGAAGCCCTGCCCCTCTGTGCCTTGGAAGCATCCTGTTGCACAGTCATACCGAGTACAGCCGTAGAGAAGGTAGGAGAGTAGCTGCGTGCACAGGCCACAGACACCATGTGTGCACGCTGCAGAGCAGGGGAGTGGAAAGAGCACTGCAGAAGGAGTCAGGACCGGGACTGAAGCCTCAGCGATGCCCTGAAGTCACCCTGAAAACCCAGGCAAGTCACCTGACATCTCCATGTAGACAGCAGCTCCCACAAGGGGAAGAATGAATGCCGACAAACGACCCCTTAAAGGTTTCCTCCAAGTCCCGTGACTCTCTCTCTCTCCACACACCTGGGAATGTGTGCGTGGACAGAGAGCCAAACGGGCTGGGGTCTCGGCCAAACTCACATGCATCAGAAGACGTAAGAGCTGCAGACACTGCTCTCTTCCTCAGAGACGCCTTCCCCGACCACCGCAACTCATGTGTGCGCGTCCTCTAGGAACCGTGACCAGCACTTCAGACTGGTTGTAATTGTAAATTCCTTTGTTTGTTTCCTTGACGATGCCTCCCCCACGAGATTAGAAACCTCGGCGGACGACAGCAATACGCTCTTTTTTGATAGCACTGTGTCCCTGGGCCAGCACATGTCCAGCATGGAGCCATGCTGGACATGTGCTAGACGGAAGACCGAATGAATGAATGCATGCTCCAAGCACTAATCAACGTTTCTGGGGTTCGCCTTCTAACACACATACCAGATACAAGTATTTACAGGTCTCACTGAGAAAGAAGCTCTCCATCCGGTCCTCTTTGGATTTGTCTATGACGTGATGCAACGTCGCATACCCACACCTACAAAAGAAGTTTCGGGTTAGTCCTGCCTCTGCTGCCTTCCTACCTGCTTATTAATTTAAGAAGAGGAAATAGTCTATTAACAGAACAATCAGCCAAATTATCAAATACCATATGAAAAACAAATCAGGTTAGGTTTAAGAGCTATCCTTTTTCAGCCTAGGTTATTTGCAAATTTATGAAAAAGTGGTTTGGCTGCTAAATCATCGGGTTAGTTATAGGGGGAAAGAAGAGGGGGCTGGTGGAAGGTATTTGCCAAGCACTTAACATGACACCAAGAAAATGACTGGCAACAAATTTAGGACTGACAGAAATTTTTTGTCCAAATATCTGTAGAAGTGACTTATCATTGGATAGCCTAAAATACTATTTTGTAAGAAAATACTTAAGATACACTGCTAGGTGAAAAAAAGCAGGTCACAAAATTGAAATATAATTTTCTTAACATATATGTATATACACACATTATATATACAAATATATGAAAATGATCATAAGTACATAAACTTAAATGTTGATTGTGGTTATCTACACACGGAGATTACAATGATAATATTCTATCTCCATATCTTCTGTACTCCCTAAACTTTTTAGTACATGTATTATTTGTACAACTAGGAAAAATAAGTTACTTAAAAAAAAATACACAGAAAAAAAGGTGAAAAAAAATAAATAGCAATTCCCACTATAAGGGAGTGGTCCTGGTATACAAAAAGTAAGCAATTTCCTTACAGAACTAACATTAATGACCTGTTCTATAAATTAAAGTGCAAAATAGAATATTTCCCCAGAACTAAAAATAAATCAAAAGTGGCCAACAGAAAAAGGAAGGAACTTAGGAAACTAACTTGACTTTTGTGTACTTTTCCAGACTCTGCAGAATATCCATTCCTACATGGAGGTAGAAGGGATTCTTGGTTGCCTAGAGAGAACATGAGAGAATGTGATCCAGCAAGGGCCTGGAAAACATGCCATCAACAAACATCACGGTGACTGCAGGAACCTCCCGAGGAGGTGAGTCACTGGCCAAAGGCAGGCACAGCGCCCAGCTCACATTACCTTGAAGGGTCACAAATGTTACAGAACTACGGTGTTCTGTTGGTTCACGTCAAAGTACCTGTACCATCTGTTTAACCGTAACGAGGGCTGAGACAATCCGCTCCAGGGTAGAACGGTACCCTGCTCTGGCTCTCCTGATCCCCATCATGGTCAGAAACAAAATAACAGTACCGTGTGTGAGAACAAATCTAGTTTCTCTCTCGCCTTCGAACTCTCTAGAAACTTAAGATGCAGGCCCAAGGACGCAAGACATTGCCCCCATTCCACTTATAGAGCCTTTTGAGGAAAAGCTAAGAGGAACAAGAAGACTTTCAAACAGGAGGCCCCCCACGCTTTCCTCTCGAACTGCCCGATGAACTCAGTCCTTAGGGTTGCTTACTCTGCTGTCACGTGCTCTTACACAGTTTCACTAGGAAACCAATTCTCTGCAAAGATGAGACCACTACTCCACAGTTTAAAAGCTGGGGATCATCTTGAAGTCACGCCTAGTGCCTGCCTGCAGAGGCAAATGCAAACGCCTATGTCTGAGGGCAGCGGTCTGTGTGGGAAGAGAGCACAGGGAGTGGCCTCCGAAGGCAGGGCCAGGAAGCTCTAAAACAGTCAACGGGAAGAAGCAACTGAAAATAGGAAGGAAGAAGTGACAGAAATGAAGAGGTATGAACCCAAAGGCAACAGACCTAAGCTTAAGAGAAGACTCAGCAGCACCCAGTCATGGCCTCCTTGGAGCACGCAGAGCTGGGCTGTCCACCCAGCTCAGAGAAGCAAACTCGGAGGCTATCTGTGCCCTCTTCTGAGAGGTTATCTAAAACTCACGAGGTCTCTCTTTGCACGTGAGGCCTAGGACCAGTTTCATAGTATTTCTCCCTTTTTCATCTAGAAGCAAATGGCACGATTCTGCGTTAATTTTTTCTTTAATAAATCCTAACCACAGTACTAACTCTACTACGAGAACTCATAAAAGTATCTTCTTGTGCGGGCTTGCCCCCTGCAGGCATTTGTCACAGGTCCACTGAGGTGCACTGAAGGCCGGCTTTGCAGAAAGCTGCTGCATTTGCGAATGGATGCAGACTCTCCATGTGTATAGATGGAGGGCACGCCCAGAGGTAAAAATATCTGCCTTAGACTGTGGGGGAGACTTCACAGTTAAAGTGACAATCCCTCTGGCATTAAATTTCATGGAAAAATGAACACTGTACGTTTTGTTTTGTTTTTTAAGCGTTAAACAAAAATAGACATTCAGATAAATCCTAGATGATTTCCTTTACCCAGAAAAAGAATTCCTTTGGTCTGAATGATGATTACACAGACCAGGGTTCCACAGTGTATGAGAACAGAACTGTATCTCAAAAAGAGTTCTTTGGCCAAACACATCTGGAAAACACGGAGTAGTAAGTCCTCTTTCATGTTTAAGGATGTGAGAGAGAAAAGCCCTATGGTGCAGGCGCGATGGGCTTTGCAGGTTAGGTTCAACACCTCCATGTGTGACCGCAGATGTCTTCTCTGTTCTGTGGAACCGGTAATCACACTCAACACCAACAAGCCTATGGTTAGGCGGCATCCATCTCCGAGTCACCAGCAAACACCACAGTTCTACCCCAATCAGCCAATGTCTGCTAAAAACCAACCGCTAAAGGTCCTGCTAGCATTGAAACACAAAGTCTAGCACCTGGTAGAGGAGATATGTAGACTCCACTAACTCCGGTCTCAGTGGATAGAAGAGCACGTCGGGGGCCTGGAGCTGCCAGTTATACCTCTCAGGGAGGGCCCCGTAGCGTTTCCAGATGGCGTAGTAAAAGGCATGGAGGCAGATGGCATCTTCCACATCTCCAATCAGAACCTAAGGAGAAGACGCTTTTCTCAGAGTGGTAAGACATGACACAAAGGCCCTGGGCTCTCCCTCTGCCCCCCAGTTCTTATCTGACCTGGTTGGAGACAAACCAACCCGGAAGTAGCAAGCCAGAAAAAAGGATGCCTCTCCCTAACAGACCGTCCGTGCCAAATTCATGGGAACTGCATAGCACAAGAGGTTAACTATACTTAGGAGTGAAGAATAAACAATTAAGAGACAGATGATCCAAAAATCACATATGGTTACTTTCCAACCATGATTTTACCCTTATTTAGTATGGCTCTGTTCCAGATCCTGAGGACTAATGTCACAAACAGAACAATCAAGACATACTGTGCTACTAACCTCCCAAATCTGGAGGAGCCAGAGAATGCTCTGGTATCACAAAAAGAAAAGAGAAAACACAGAAACCCTTGGCAATGATTGCATTTTCTTGGAAAACATGGTTGCTGAATACCTGCAGTCCAGGGAAGAAGGCCTGCAGAGAGTCAATCCAAGTGTTCATCAGCTGCCCGCTGAACATGTTCACATTCACGTACAGCGGCGGGTCTCCTTCTCCTTCGTTACAGGCTTCCCGCCTAACGGGTGAGCAGAGCAGGCAAAGGTGAGAAGAAAGATCGCTGACAGCCCTCCAGCCCTACTCCTCCCGCAGCCCCTGGTCCTTTAACTTCAATGGCATCAACATTAACATTTTCTCCTAACTCATTCTTTAAACCTTTGGAGAGAAACTGCCTCTACCTGTGGATACCAGACTCTAGCATAAGGTAACATCTGCCATAGAATAAAAGTGCTGAACTTAGCCATCGTAAATGATCAGGGCTTTCACTGTGTTTTGCAGAGGGCACTTGGACATTCCAAATGGCTTACAAATACTGCCACGTAATGCGGTATCTAGCAGGGTCTTTGTTGGATTTGACCTGAGTGGAAAAGCCTGGTTTCTTCTACACAAAAAAAGGATCTCTTCTCTAATAAGATCCTACACCAGGGGCCTGAAGGAACGCATCAGAGCAAGATGCTTAGGGATTATTGCTCAATTTAGGTTGGGACTTTAAAAAAGCAAAAATGGGGGCGCCTGGGTGGCTCAGTTGGTTAAGCGACTGCCTTCGGCTCAGGTCATGATCCTGGAGTCCCGGAATCGAGTCCCGCATCGGGCTCCCTGCTCAGCAGGGAGTCTGCTTCTCCCTCTGACTCTCTTCCCTCTCGTGCTCTCTGTCTCTCATTCTCTCTCTCTCAAATAAATAAATAAAATCTTAAAAAAATAAAATAAAATAAAATAAAATAAAAAAGCAAAAATGTCTGAACCCTGGACAAGTAGCCTCTTACTAAAACACAGCACTCACACAAAGGGTTCCTACAACAGCTAACGTAGAAATGGGTCCAAGAAAATCCCAACATGCAGAAACTCAGTAGCTATCACTTGCATTGGACATTTAATATACAAAAGCATACAAAGAAAGACCTAAGGAAGTGAGGTGACATCGAGGTAGAAGCCACTGCAGCTCTGAATGGCACTTCTCCCCAGCCCTCCTGATTGCACAACTGGGTAGTAGCAAATAACGCTGTTTTAAACTACAGCGCGGGGAAATGTGGTAACTGTCCTTTCTCTCGTGAGGTATAAAGACCAATCCAAACAATTCTTTGGAAAGTAAAAGAACCGAAATAACTCAGTAATGGTCCTGTATTACAGCTTTATATGCGATGAAAGCCACAGTAAAACACAGGCACGTGTCACTCCTTGTGGCAACCAGTGTCCACCATGGCCCCCGAAGATCCCTGACTCCTGGCAGTCACAAAGGCTATGACTTGTATGGCCCCCTCTCACACCAGACCGCGGCTGGTCTGCGGGACCTACAGAGCCGGGCAGAAATGTTGGTTCATCAATCCAAATTTAGGTCACGAAAGCACACTTTTGGCCTCTCTTTCTCTCTCTCTCAGATCACTCACTCTGGGGGAAGCCGGCTGCCATGACCTGCCTACAAAGAGGTCCATGTGGCGAGGAACTGAAACCTGCCAACCAGCACAGGACTGAGCCTAGAAGGGGGTCCTCCAGCCCTGACTGAGCCTGGACACGGCTAGAGCCCCTGCCAATAGCCTGGTGACAACCTTGCGAGACCCTGGGTCCGCTCAGCGGCTCTTGGCTTCCTGACCCTCGGAAACTGTGGAAGATAATGTTTGTTGTTTTAAGCCACTAAGTGCTGGGGTAATTTGCTATGCCGCAGTAGAAGCCTAAAACAGATCTTTACCCCCAAATGTCCTAGCCCAACAACTAGGAAGTGGGAAGATGAATGCAGAGACCACAAGACGCTGTGGATTCACGTTGAGAACACACCCCACTTGTTTTACAGGGCAAGAGGAGACACACCCTCTTCTTAAGTAGTTCTGAATACTCCGGTACGCAGCATTAAACATCTCGAGGTCTTCCTTTTCTCCAAAGAGAATGTAAGATTTCAAGAGGTATTCATAGAAGGAGTCCAGGCCAGCGCCCAAGCCGCTCTGCTTTCCAACCCAGCGGCCCGTCTGAATGTTCACCACATTGCCTGCAAAAACAAACAAAGCCTATCAGGCCCCAGGTATCTGGGGACGGCTCCTCCTCCAGGGTGCCCTCCAACTCTGGCCCCACCAATCTCCGGCACCCTGGGCCTTGGCAGAAAAGAAGGAATGAGCGCTTGGCCCTCGCATTTTTATCAGTCCCATCAGCGGCACAGAGAGCCAGGAAATCTTTCTCAATATACGGTGTTTAAACACTGGGACAAAACTGGGGAAAACACTTGAGGCAAGAGAAAAGTAAATTTGTCATTTTGCCTTTCCAGATTAACAGCGCATTTCAAATGCCAAAGGAGTGTTCAAACCTTTGACTCAGTAATGCCATTCCTGGCAATTTATCCTTAATGAAAAAAAGTCTTTAAGAAAAGGTATTGTGTTGTTCATCAAGAATTATGAACCGTATGATTTATATTATCTGTAAAATGGGGGGAAAAAAGAAAAAACAGAAATAATGCAAGTGTCCAACACTGGAAGAGTTAATGGACTTTGTAGATTTTAAAGACGGTAGCTATAGAAAACAAGGTAACAACTTTAAAAACCTGAACTGCCAAATGCAAGGCAGAGTAAAAATGCTTATTTATATTAGAAGTTGAAGGTATATAAACATTGCACATGCCAGACTGAAAGGACCTATGGGAAATTTAAAAGGTGACAATTTGTGGTGACATTGGCAAACCATTTGGCGGTGGGGTGGCAATTTGGGCAACTTGTTTATTTCTACCAGTGTTGTTAAACACAACAAATATGTAAATAAATTTAATAATTTAAGGAATAATCAAAAATCACTTGTGGGGCGCCTGGCTGGCTCAGTCAGTGGAGCACGAAACTCCTGATTTCGGGGTTGCAAGTTCGAGCCCCATGCTGGGCACAGAGATTACTTTAAAAAAAAAAAAATCACCTTTAAAAAGCAGTGGTTCTTGCAATGATACTCTATGGCTCTAGGACAACTAATCAAGGTACTTCTCAATGACAAAAAAAATTTTTCTGGGGCACCTGGGTGGCTCAGTTGGTTAAGCATCTGCCTTTGGCTCAGGTCATGATCCCAGGGTCCTGGGATCAAGCCCCACATCTGGCTCCCTGCTCAGCAGGGAGTCTGCCCCTCCCCCTTAATCATGCTCTCACTCTAATGAATAAATTAAAAAAATTTTTTTTAATTTTTCTCAGTGTAAGACAGTTTAAAATAATATCTTGAGTTAGCAAAAAACTAGTAATTATTTAAGATGAATGATGAGTACACAGGGATTCATTATTCATTATACTTTCTCCCTACTTCTGTAGGTTTGAAATGTTCCATAATAATTTTTTTAATAACATCTTGACCAAACATTCTCAAGAGAAAAAAAAAAAAAAATCCCACCTAATATAGGTTTAATCTGGCCTTTCAACCTACTACCACATGCCTAGAGTTTTTTAAAGGAAAAAGCCACTCCACCAGTAACTCCAAATGCCTATATTTAGAGCCTTATTGAAACAATATAATCTGCCTCAGAGGCGGTTCTTTTTATAGCATTTCCATTAACAATTATTTTCAAGTGAAACATGCCAAGGGATTCAAATCAGAAGGGAACCCTCAAACAGCAAAAGCATTATTCTTTCCCATCAAACATTACAGCCTCACTCTAGGCAGAAAGTCCCACAGAGAAATTAGACATGGCAGACACGAAGGGCCATTCTGTGTCCATTGTCAGGTTCAGCGGTACAGACAGAAGGAGTGGCGAGCAGGGAGAACCCCAGAGAAGAGGAAAGGAAAGGGGGCCAGATGTACCCAGTCCCAGTGGCCTGAGAAGGTGCCACCACACCTAATAATCCCGTATCATTGCTCCGCAGGTCCCAAAGGGCTTTCACAGCACGTCTGGCCACCCACTCAAATGTAGAATCCCCCAGGAGTCGGCTCAGAATCCCAAATTCCACCAGGAGGGAACCAGCGCCTGCTGTGCATGTCTCATTATTGCTGTCAGGAGGAACGCCCGTCTTTAGATTCACCTGGGGACAGGAAGAGACAAAGGATTTGTGGCAAGACTTGTGAGGAACCCTCAAGGCTAGAAGGTCAGGTCACAGCCACTAGATTCAACTACTGAACCAAACTTACTGCAGTGTGACTCAGCTCACCGCCTCCCATGTCACACCTGAGATAGATATGGGAGTTAAGCTTAAACGACACAAACAAGGCAATTAAGAACACCACGCCTTGTTTTAATAAGAGCAAGTCTTAGGGGGATGGTTACAATGCTGTGCTCTAATCCACCTCTTTCCAGCACCAGGCTTTGGTATTAGAAACAAAGGCCAGCTGTGGAATGCCTTATCAGTTTTAAGTGAGCTACGAGGAACTCACCCCTGCTCAGCGAACATAAACAAATCACAGACTGGCAGACAAGGGAGACACAGGACGAATGTGACAGCCTGTTTCATCACTGAGGCTCTGTGGGCTGGCAATTCTCTGCTGGTTACCTAAAAGGCTGACTCAATTCCCAAGGGAGTTCTGAACTCAGCAAATCGGGTGCCACAAAGACAGAATCTCATTCCAGATCTTGCAGTTAAATCAGCAGCTCACTGGCTGGGCTGGGCAGGCTTTTATTTGAAAGATCCACGTGAAGCACTCCCAAGAACAGTCGCCAGGATCCTACAGTACACACATGAGGGTCTTTGGGGGAATGTACTCGAGTCAGAAATAAAGACAGATCCCCCATGCTATTTGGTAGCAAGGGATACAAATCTCACATGCAGAGGAACTTCACGATACTGAGCCCACGAACCTAGTAAGTTCCTTAAGGGGAAGAATCAAATGTGTCAACCGTATGCCTGGCACACAGTAGGTGCTCGGTAAATGCTGAATGAATTAAAAAAACATCCTGCTGCAAAATCCAAACTGGAAAAATCTACCAGGACAAATAACCCAGTTCTCTCCAACATTATGTGTTACCAGAAAGGGGGAAAGATGCACGGAGACCTTCAGCCTAAGAAACCTAAGAGACTGAATGAACTAGACCTTATTTCATTCAGTCTTGATTTGAACAACTTGTTAAAGAAAAAAGGTGTTTATGAGACAATCAGAAATGTAAACTGGGTATTTTAAGGTATTAAGAAATTTTGGATTTTTAAAATATGATAAAAAGCATCTGAGACGTGGTAACGGTATGCAGTGTGTGTAAGTGTTATGAGGTTCACATCTGCTACAGACTGACTGGGGGCGGGAAACACACGGAACAAGCTCAGGTATGACCTGATCATTGCTGGAGATGGGTGATGAACATCCGGGGTGAGGTGGGGAAGCCTGTATTATACTATTCTGTGTTTTAAAGTATTTTTGTCTGGGGTGCCTGGGTGGCTCAGTTGTTGGGCGGCTGCCTTCGGCTCGGGTCATTATCCCGGGGTCCTGGGATCGAGCCCCGCATCGGGCTCCCTGCTCGGTGGGGAGCCTGCTTCTCCCTCTCCCACTCCCCCTGCTTGTGTTCCTGCTCTCGCTATTTCTGTCAAATAAATAAATAAATAAAAATATTTTGGTCTAATGTAAAAAAAAATAAAAATAAAAAAACATCCTGCATCACATTTTGGGACAAATTCTCTCAAGGACACAGCTTTCCTCTTTCACATCACCTCCCCACTTGCCCCAAATAAATGTATCAAAAAAGAGTTTTAATTCAGGAAGATGGTGACATGTCCAACCAGTCTACCTACCCGAGGATAGGGGATTCCTGTCTTGGTGTTTTCAAAGGCCGGCAGGAGCCGCACAGCCAGGTCGTGGGCCATGTGCAACAATTCGTTATCATAATCCTTAATTGTCATGTCACCAAAGGGCTGCTTGGAGTCAGTTATTATTCTGTGGGCAGAGAGGAGGCTTCCTAGGACCCTAAAAGACAGGATGACAAGAAGAACACACAAAAACAATACAATCATGTTGCTTGTCAATGCATACAGTCTGGTTCAGACTGAAAGCAGCAGCCTCAAATCCCTTGAACTCAGAGCTGCCTGGAATCAGAGGGACTGAGCTTAATGGCTCCTCGAAGTTCCTTCCAGCCCTGATAAACGACCGATTCTTTATTAACCACATCATTGAAGGTGGGGGGGGGAAGAGAACCGTTCACCTGAGGCCGCCAAGAACAATCTCACTTACAGTAGTAACTCATGGCCGGCAGTCTCAAATCATCTCATCGGAAGGGAGGGTATTAGCCAGTCTCAGAATAAACATTACCTTTCAGTATTAATAAATGACCCTTGATTTCTCTCACATGGGGAAAACACTTAACCACATCAGAAACAGGAAAGGGCAAAACAACACACACTAAGTAGCTTTCCTAGTGTGGGCTGCCCAACAGCTGAGAAATTGTCCACGTCCTGGTGAGGAGGCAAGGTGAGGAGCAGGAAGAAACCTGCTCAGAGGCAGAAGGCCAGCAGCTCAGATCTATGAACCTCCGGAGCCAGGAATCATGCACCACTCCAATGACCTCAAGCTGACTGCAATGTGTGTCAGCACAAACGTTTTCACAGCTTTAATTTTAAATAAATAAATGATACATCTGGAATGGTATGCAGTAACACAGTTTTCAAAAAGTTTAAATAGTAAAATAGTCACAACATATCAACCTAGATAGAGGCAAGATACAAAACTGTGTATGGAACATGGGGGGAGGTTGAGGGGGGCGGCGGGCATGAGGTGGGGGGTGGGGAGAGAAGAGAGAGCGGCACATGAGGGGGAAATACACCCAAATGGTAAGCAGTGGGTGGTAGGTAAGATGGGAAACTTTCATTTCCTTCAGAAATGTGTTGGGGTTTTCCTAGGACACAGTGAAGGAAGGAAATGAGACCAGACACCAAGTGACAGTGAAAATCTGCATTAAAAGGACACCCATCTCCAATCTTCATTAAGCTTAAGTGAGGGGCATCTGGGTGGCTCAGTCGGTTAAGCGTCTGCCTTCAGCTCAGGTCATGATCCCAGGGTCCTGGGAATCAAGCCCCACATTGGGCTCCCTGCTCAGTGGGGAGCCTGCTTCTCCCTCTCCCACTCCCTCTCTGCTTGTGTTCCCTCTCTCGCTGTGTCTCTCTCTGTCAAATAAATAAATAAAATCTTTAAAAAAAAAAAAAAAGCTTAAGTGAGTCTTTTCAGCCCCCAATGGAATTACTTTGAAATGTCAATTGTTCCACTGTTGATAAAGCCCAAAAGGGAGAGGAGAAATGGACACAGCGCCCATTAGGTCCCCCCCAGACTCTCTACCTGGATCTTGCAGCTGGGAGAGCCTCACAGGAATTTTGCTGCTCACACACACAAAAGAAGCCTTCAGTCCATTTCATGTACTATTTTACCTTATTGTGGCCTCAAAGACTTGGACGGTGGAATCTTTGTCAAATGAAACTGTGTCGATCACTAATTTGACTGCTTTCTGGAACTCAGATGAATTTCCCATTATCTTTAAAATAAAGGAACACAAAGCATTACAACAGCTTGAAATGACATTGAGGGACCACTTAGTCTAAATGTCTGTACAAGGTTTTACCACCCATGGGAGGAGCAAAAACACAAAGGTAGAAAAACACGGTTATCTCTTAGAATATATTCTAGGACAGATGGCAAGCCCATCTCCCGCAACTCAAGAATCCTATCTCCAAATAGTCAAACTGTGAAATAATTCCTCATGAATCATTAGTACCCCTCACCTTCCCACTAGACTCTCCCTCAAACTTCAGCATGATCTGATTTAGCATGCAAGACACTAGAGTTCCTAAAATTCTTGAAATGAGTAAAAATAAATCCAAAAACCAAAGAAACAAAAATATAACTTCCCCTATGCTCCTCAAATAAATCGACAGCTTGGGTGCTTGGCTCCCAAGAGACGAAAACATCTGGAAAATGGACTTCTTGCTGGTTATCCAGATGTCTAAACACTTTGAGAAATAGTAGCATTTTCTTTTGGAGCACAGCATAAAACCAGTGGCATTCAAAACAAACAAGACATACAAATAATCAGCTCCGTGTCCTTTTTTAAAGAGTGATCTAAAATTATAATTCCTATTTTGGGTGCATGAATATGATCTCATACAAAGCTGCTCTCTCCTATAAGAAGTGCAAATTGGGAATAAAATTTTACAGATTAACTGAACCAAAATGCTTTCATTCTGTTCAAAAATTTAGGACAATCCTGGGACTTTAAGGACATCACAATGATACACACACAAAAGAAAAACAAATAATTTCATCCAGACACTATTTCTTTCAAGTGTGCCTTATTTCCTAGTATTTATTGGTGTAGCGCATCTTTTTATTCCCCTCTTCATTGTTACTATTCCTAAGTACAGACGTTTCTTTCCTGGCCTTTAGTTCTTTCTTTTTAAAAGATTACACAATAATGCTACAAGTCACAGCCAATGGTCAGGGGACTGCTATCTTCTCACTGTTTCCACAGCACATCTGTTAGAGCCTGTTTAAAATGTTAGCAAGAGAACAAGAAAACCTCAACTGAAGTAACACCTGAAAAATAAGCCTGAAGTGCTAGCACACCAAAGACCGGATATTCTACAATGAAAACCACAGAAGTGGCTTTGTTCCTTACAGATGCTCACCAGCAACAATATCTGTTAGTAGCTGCAGAGGCTGATACAATCTCAGATCAAGTGGAGGATGGTGAAGGAAGCCAGCAACTTTCAATTACATATTCTAATTTACCATTTTAGTCACACAGCTACAGAGTAAGCAGGCTGTAAATCATTCACTCAGGCTTAAGAAAACCTGGACTGAACAAAAGAGTTAAATCGGTTTCTTTACTGCAGGACTTCTCAGAGCCTTTAAAATGCTGGTGTACATTGTAGCTCTCCAATAATAGGATGGGCATGCAGAATTTCTCAAGGTTCACTTGGGAACAGAATTCTTCTTTTGGGGAATATACCCTTGGAAACAGTGCTGGGAAATGCCGAATTTGGAGAAATTCATTTTTTGAACACATATTTGCACTCCTACTATGTGTGAGACACCATTAGGTGGAGAGTGCAATGAGTAATAGAAATGAGGTCTCTGTACTTCCTGAGCATGGCGGAGGGATAAAAAGATACAATGAAGGCCAAAAAAGAGAGGTCAGGTGTGAGAGAGGTGCTCCTTCATAATGTATATGAGTTTTGGTACACTCTTTAAGAAACACCTATAAGGCTGAGTCAGCCTCCAGTATCTTCAACAAGCTAATGATAATTAGGTTGAGCAGACTTGTCCGGGCACATTGTGATCACCCATGATGGATGACTGAAGTGGAGCGGCAAGAACCCCAGAAGGAGAAATTGGGCCACTAAAATGCTGTGCAGCCACAGGCTGGCAGAATGAAAGCCCAGGGCCCCCGCAGACCCTGGGCCCAGGAGGGCACTGAGAGATGGCTCAAGCTCCTTCCAAGTCCTAGTGAGTCTTCGGCCAGTGGGCTCCTGAGCAGCTGTAATACTAACTTAGCTAGCATTACTCACTTCCAACCCCTGACAGTTTTAAACTCTTCTCAGTGAAGTTCAAACAGAAAAGAGGACATTATTAAATGCAGGATCTGGGCTCGACTACGGGAAGAATTCTCTAATGGTAAAGGCATGCTGGATAATGAAGCGGAGCAAAGAGGTTGTGCAATCACCTTCACGAAGGAGGATCTAACATGCTACGCTGAAATACAGTGCCTTGGAAGCCAAGTGCTGAGAGGCAGACTGCATGCACGGCACACACGGCGTGATGGTAAGTACCACACCACAGTGGCGTCCTGCTTGCGGTGTGCTTCTTCATATCCATTTGGAGGTCTCCAGCTTCCAGACTCCACGAGGGAAACCACGGGGCGCTGGGGGAAAAGGCAGCACCCAAGTTGGCAGCCCCAGTGGGGACAAAACATGGAGTGGCACGCAGAAAGGAGTGTTTCTAAAGAGCTTGCGCGACGGCCTGGGACCAGGGCTCAGGACACACTGTTCGGGAGCACATAGCCGGATGCTATTTCAGGAGCTTGTCTTTGACTTCTCAGATCTTAACTACAGTAACTGTCAACTTGAATGGAATGCTCTACTGATTCCTTTATCGAATAAAATAGGGGGAAACTGAGAGAAAAATAGGTTTCCCCCAAAACAATCATACTTTCTTCTCCACTTTATTTACGGGAATCACATTTCCACTCCTTTAACCTTGAATGCTTTTCTCGCCCTCAGCATTAAGGTCATAAAAAAAACAATGGCTATCAAAGCTATGAATACATTTTGAGTATCAGGTTTCCTGGAACTCCCATCCCTGGTGGAAACTAGGGATAATCAACCCCAAAATATCTTAATTAATGAAAAAAATAATAAGGCTAAATACTTACTGCAAGTGTATCCAACGCATCAACAAGAGTCAATGAGTAATTCCCGAGGACATCATTTATGTTCAGATTTGAACTGAAAAAGAAACAAAATTAAAGTTAAAGAAAGGTACTTTATTTTAAAAGAGAAAAGGACAATAAAACTAAACACCCATCAGAAACTAAAACTGTTGGCAACTTTTATTGATTCAGGGACGATTATAGGTGGGTCAGTATGGCAGTAGTCTTTCTATCTCCTAAGTGACCATTTCTAGAGTGTCTGCAAGTGGACTCAAGTCACCCAATAACAGAGACACACTGATGACGCTATTGTGGGAAGAACATGCAACAGGAAGTCCGGAGATGGTGAACCAGAGTCGTGCGCCCTCCCTGAGGTAGTTTTATCACCACAAATCACCTCTCCAGTCAGCTTCAAAGAGCTCTGATTTCAAAATCATTAGGAATGGAAAAAAGAAAGACCCTGTCATGTGACCTACCCATGACCCTTTATTTTATTTTTTTGAAAGATTTTATTTATTTGTTTGAGAGAAAGAGGAGTGTGTGTGTGCACACAAGCAGGGGGAAGGGCCAGAGGAAGCTGGAGAAGCAGATTTCCCGCTAAGCAAGACTCCATCCCAGGACCCTGAGACTATGACCTGAGCCCACGGCAGATGCTTAACTGACTGCGCCACCCAGGCGCCACCCCCCCCACCATGACCCTTTAATATAGAAATCAGCCGCTCCAGCAGGTTACACACAACAGGAAGCAAATACCTTCTGTGATGGCCTGATTACCACTCACTTGTGCTTTGGTTGGGGGAATAAATTAACCTCTTGATCTCATTTTCTCATTCACATCTCAAAGAATCCCCATCACCTCCACCAACTCTGAGGGGCTGAGCCAAGGCAGGACTTCTCTGCGCTGGAGCTGCACCCTCATTTCTGCCCACATGTCCTGTCCCCACAGTCAACACGGATTTCCCTTTCTGAAGCAACCTTAAGACACCGACTTCAGGCCTGCAATGAGGGGAAAGCTCCCCAGTCACTGGGACAGCTCCTTACAACACTAAAACCGATGACGAGGACAAGGAATAGGTCCGGGAAGGGCAGGGATGGAGCAATTGTGCAGCTTGACAAACTGCGGGGACTTCAGTAATTCCCTGGTCTCATTCCCACAAGCCCAGAAAGGAAAGGGCAAAAGCCTGAAAAGACGGAAGGAGAGAAATAGGACACGTGTTTACTATTAAAGACCAAAAGTCAGAAGCCCTAGCTTTATCTTCGACAGCAGATTCACTGAAATGATGGCACCTTCCAGCACATCCGTAGACCACTGTAGCCAGTCCTTGAGTCACTCGAATGGGGACTCGTCTTGCTTCCCCTGTTTTGGACGGCCCGCTCTGCTCTCTGAAAGTGTACCCTCCAATGTGCCTTGGTAGGGTGAATGGCCTTACATGATGCAGGCACACACAGCTTCAACACATCACAGCTGATCCTGCGCGAGCCTTTCTGTTGCTTTGTTGTGTGCTGTGTTACCCCCACTAAATCTAGGACAAAGAATTTAGAGCTAACTTTGAGATACATTGTCTCAAACAAGCTATATAATAGAAGGGGCTATCTAGAAACCAGGGTTATCTCGCCCCTCACAAGCCATTGAGGCCAGCACACTGCATGGCTGAAAACTGCACCTGCTTCTTCTATTTGTGGATTCTTTCTAAATAAAGTTATATAATTGTAAAAGGTCCTCTAAAGACGAGAGCCATGGGTTAAAATAAGCACTTCAAGGGCAGTGCCAGCCAGAAAGGATACAGGAAATGCCGAAAGTTGGAGGAGAAGGTCAAAGACAGGGAGATCCTCGTGCTCAGTTCTGCCACTCCAGAATATTCTGTCGGGTTTAAATATTTAACTGCATTGCTCTGTGGCTCAGAAACAAAGAGTGGGTTCCCACGTCCCACCTCATTAGAAAACGGCTCCCTTGCCACTTAGCATCCAAGCTGGATGATGTATAAAACACCCCAACTGCCCTCTCCTGAGCTGTACCCTCATCTGGGCCAAGCTGTACCCTCACCTTCTCCACCTGCACAGGCCTGTGGAAGGCAGTACGAATTCTGACCACTACACTCCTTCACATGTTTTATAGTACTTTCCTGTTAGGCTATAACTAAAAAGGACCCAACTTTACACTACTTCTCAATACAGTGCCCAAGCAGTCACTCAGAATGAACAGTTATAAGAAATGCCACAGTAAGGGAGCCTGGGTGGCTCAGTTAAGCAGCTGCCTTCAGCTCAGGTCATGATCCCAGGGTCCTGGGATCGAGTCCCACATGGGGCTCCCTGCTCGGCAGGAAGCCTGCTCCTCCCTCCCCCACTCCCCCTGCTTGTGTTCCCGTTCTCGCTGTGTCTCTGTCAAATAAATAAATAAAATCTTAAAAAAAAAAAAGAAGAAAAGAAAAAAGAAATGCCACAGTAAAAAAATAAAAATTTGGAATAACTGGATGGGTTCCTTCTCTCTACTCAGACAAATCTCTTGAAAAATCTAAAGTGTGCATTAAAACACTTTTAATTATTTTCTACCAAGTAACTGCTATACACTCTTTCAAAATGTGCCATAACAGAAAGAAAAGAAAGAGGGGTGTGAAGGGAAATGTAGATTCCATAAAATCCTCTTGGCCTAACAGCACCATATTACTGTGATTCCATTTATTCCAGCCCACGATGTAGGTATAAGACTGTGGCCTTGTTCTTTGCAGATTGATTGATGGCCGGCCTGACTTATCTGCTAAGTGCCTCAAGCCAAAAGAACTCAATCTTCCAGTACAGGGCTAGGCCCACAAGTACACGTCTTTCCACATCACCAGCTGGCTGAACCACGATGACCCAGAATTAAACTCTCCACTTAATTTACCACGTGTGCCTGTTCATGACATTCGCTCCAGTGTGAATTTATAAGGTTCTTATCACCCCAAAACAGAGCTGAAAAAACTACAACCTTTGGCAGGCAATTTTTGATTATATAACTAACAAAATCAAACATATGGTTTAAAAAAAAAAAATCTCCCACATATATTTAACCTGTACCAGCTGTTCAGAAATCTACCTGGTGCTGGGTAGGCACAGAGGTAATACAAGAAACAGTCCCTGTGTCAAGGGACGGATAATCTGGGGAGACACGACAAAGGGAAAGGAAGGTGAACACACAACAGTACTCAATTCTGAACTGATGTGGAACAGCAGACCAAAGAAAGGAACTGAAAGGAGAACCAAGTAAAGCAAGGAAAATCGTCTTCAAATAGAAAAAGACTTAGGTCTGACTCTGAAGTGGGACAGGAGGTTAGAAAGAAAGAATGCACAGGAGGCCATCTTAGGCTAGGGGTGCCTAGGAATGGGTCGGTTTGGCGGCCAATATCAGTTGGGGTTGTTCATAGATTTGCTTTTCTACCTGAACAGCAAAATGGCTGGGGAGGAAGCAAAGAAGGATCATGTGCCCAAGGCCTGAACTATTGTTATCATTCACAAGATTACAAAAAATATAATATCCAAATTTATTTGAAGAAACTTTTGAATTCGGGGTGCCTGGGTGGCTCAGTTGGTTAAGCGACTGCCTTCGGCTCAGGTCATGATCCTGGAGTCCCGGGATCCAGTCCCACGTCGGGCTCCCTGCTCAGCAGGGAGTCTGCTTCTCCCTCTGACCCTACCCCCTCTTGGGCTCTCTCACTCAAATAAATAAATAAAATCTTAAAAAAAAAAAAGAAAAGAAACTTTTGAATTCGGATCCTCCAATCCAAACTGAGGATATGAGAATAACTGACTTTGCATATTAATCTGTAGCTAGGCCAAAAGATTTGCTACTATCAAGTATTCAGGTTTCATTTACTTCACATTAACTCCTCACCCTACCTACAGTCAAACAAGACAGGCAAGACAAGCCTCAAGTAAATGTGACTAAAAAGAAAAGACACACAGGTTGAGTGCCCATATTTTGTTTCTGTACTTCCTACATAATATTCTAATAGGTTTGTCATTCTATATTTTAAATGCATCATCAGAATACACTTGACAACTACCATTAGAATACACTTGATTTTTTAAAATCTGAAAAATTTGGGGGCTCCTGGGTGGCTCCATCGGTTAAGCATCTGCCTTCGGCTCAGGTCAGGATCTCGGGGTCCTGGGATGGAGCCCACGGCGGGCTCCTGCTCAGCTCCCTCTCCGTGTTCTCTCACTCTCACTCTCGCTCTCTCTTAAGTAAATAAATAAAATCTTTACCCCCCAAAAATATTAAAATATAAAATAAAATCTGAAAAGTTTTTATTGCAGGTTATCTATTTTGGGGATGTAAACATATCCTATTGTTTCAGAGCCAGAATGACAAAGCTCTGGTTCTAAACTTTTCCTTGAAAATACTAGCCTGAAAGGAGTTAAGTTAAAGAAAGGAGAGTAAAAAAAAATTAACTTTCCACTCTTTGGAAGCAGCTAGTGTGAGGGTCTACTCAAGGCCATCATAACCCCAGAGTTCTTTCACCTCCTCAAAGACACCAAAGGTTTATCAACTGAAAGGTTTATTAACCTCTGGGCACAACCTTTCCCAAATGCCATCCCCCCGATATTTCAAACTCCATCTTTCCAACAGCAATACATCTGTCTCAAAGCAACCTGACCTCAGTTTACCCACACCGCCACTGTACAATCAAACCAAGACACTCATCAGCAGACTTCATCCTGAAACAAAAGCCTATGCCACCAGGAACTACCACAGGGACCAGCAAGTTAACCAAGGGCCACGTCACCTTGCTGGAGAAGGGCTCCAACTCACCAAAGGGTTCCTAAGGTTCATTAAGAAAAGCATCAAAATGTCATCGACTCACTCTCCTGATTATAATATTCCCAACTGAAAGCCTTATTACAAGTCCTCATTAAACTGCTTTCCTTAGGTCCACACCATAAAAGGAAATCTGAGGAAAAAGTCTGTGAGAGAGAATAGGGCACTTACTCAAAGTATTCTCTCCCTCCTTATAATACCATGAGCATTAGTGAGAAAATACAAGTAAGACCCAAAATATGTACACACACTTTGGTTTCAACAATGTAAAGTATGTGTAGGCATATGGGCGGGAGCTGGCAGGAAAAATAAATTAAAAATAACTGTTTGGTGGGGTTTGAGGCTTTTTTATTTTTTTCAAATTTTTATCTTTTTTTCCTCCAATAACAACAAAAAATGAGATCCAAAGAAAATACACAGGTATAAAGTCTGTACAGTTAAGGACTAACAATTAACTTATTAATTTCCTAATATCTGGAAAGGCCCCAGCAATTTTTATCAAAACTTAAAAATTTTTTTCAAAATAAAAAACTGATAGAAAATATTTATACGCATAAAGCCTGATATAATGAAGAAAAATAACTCATCAGTTTCCTATAATTTTAAAAAGGCCCAGTCCTTTGAAACTAGCTTGGACTGTGTCCCTTGCTTCACTAAAACTCATGCTCCTCAAACTGTCATTTAAGAAATGATTTTGTAGATAACCAAACCATTTTTTTTTATTCTTCAAGCCCCTTTGGTATAGGGGCTTCCTTTTCATAACTTAAGGACTGGACTCTTCCTTTTACCAGGTGAAGGAAGATACATCCCCAAAAAGTCCAAAAGCACCTATAGAATGTGGGGCCAAGGCAATGGGCAGCCCCTCTCCTCCACTCCCATCACCCAGAGGAAGGTAGTCACCTATCCGGTCCAACAGGGTCTGTGGCAAAACACACCCATTCCCTCCAGCTAGAAGGTCTTCAGCTGGGTGTGCTGTCCTCTTGGACTCTGATGTCAACAGCAGTGACCCTGGAAGCTTGGCCTCCACAGACAAGGCTGGTGGAAGGGGAGGACGGGCTGACCTTACTGGACAGTCCTGCCACCAGAGTGGAGGAATTTATGGGACAGATAAAGGTGACAGTCAATTCAGCGGCCAAGGAATCAAACCCTGAGTATCAAGACCCCAAATCAGAGCCAGATACAGTCTCTCTCTCTCTCTCTCTCTCTCTCTCCTCTCCTGTAAGTTTCTTCAGCCTAAAAAGCAGCCCCTGTAAATGAAGGAGAAATGTTGTAGCCCCGCTCTGCCTCATGATCATGGGCTGGCTTTGGAGAAGTCCTTTCCCGTAATCAACTCCTGAATTTTTAGATGGGCCTGGGGGGCGGGGGGATGAGGGCTTGTTTTGAAGCTGCGTTTACAAGGGATTTCATTTTGATCATATATATATATAGTCATTCATCTGGAGAAGGGGTTCTTGGAGATGAGTCTAAAGCCCCAGAAGCTACCCTTTGGTACTGCTACCGTCCCTTCCTGTCTCTGAGCCTCAGTTACCCCATCTGTAAAAGAGTCTGGGCTGGACAGCTATCCTGTAACTCAGAGATATCGGAAGAATCAAGAAAGAGAAGAGCCACAGGCCCATCTACACACACCCCAAGCCCAGGGGGACCCCCGGGGGGTCGGGCAAAGGCACTGCGCGGGAGGGTGTGGCCCCAGGCCCCTAAACGCCGTGGCATCCCTTGGGGGACCCAGAGGACTGAAGGAAGCGCGTGGGGCGCGCCGGCTACTCACGGGTCCCCGCGGTCAGGCCCTCGGCCGCGACAGTGGATGGGGTTGAGCTCGTCCTGGGGAAAGGCGTGCGCCATGTAGTTGTCGTAGCCGAAGACGAACATGCCCCGAGCTAGGTCGCGCATCTGGGCGCGCAGCTGCGGCGGGAAGGCGCCGCTGTAGCGCTTCTCGTACTCGTCCGGGCCGCGGCCCCGGCCGCCTAGCACGTAGCCCCAGTGGGCCGGGCCGCACACGCCCGGCTCCGGCCGCCGCGGAGCCCGCCGCCGTCCCGCTGCCGCCGCCCCGGGGCCCGGAGGCTGCAGCCACGACGGCCCCGACGGCCCCCCGGGCCGGCTCGCGGGCCCCGACGCAGGAGACTCGGGGCCGTCGGGAGCCCTCAGGCGCTGGAAGCCGAAGCTGAGCGGAAAACGCTGGTAGAAGCCCATGCTGGGCCCCAGCCCGAAGACGAGCCACAGCACTCCATGGAGGCCAAGCCGGAGGAGCACCAGCCCCAGGACAAGCGCTCGCCATTGCATGGTCGCGCGGGCGCCGCGGGCATTATTTTAAAGCGCGGGGGACCTCCCCCGCGGACCACCGCACCCCACACCCGCCCCGCAGCCCCGCTCACTTCCCCTTTAAGGAACTCCCCCGTGACGCACCAGGAACCGGCCCATTGTCCCCCTCCCCCAAGTCCCTCGGGCCGGCCGACCTGGCCCCGCGTTCGCCCGCCCAGTCGCCCGGGATTGGCCCGGCCCGGCCCGGCCTCGTGGGGCGCGGCCGGGGACTCCCTCCGGCGCCATAGGCCGTCCGGACTTCCGCAGCGCCGCGAGGCCCCGCCCCATCATCCCGCCCCGCCCCCTGGGCGGTCGGAGTCCAGATGGGCTGGCGTGGCGAGTAGGGGCCGCTCGGGCTACTTGCGGAGGAAACTTCCAGCCAATGGGAGCGCTGCACGGGAGCACCAGTCGGACGCCGGACAGAGATTTGGCCCCCTACCTGCCCGGTTTGGGTAAAGCCTGTCTCCCGCCTAGCTGGGACCGTCACTCCAGCTCTAGGTTAGGGATGGTGCCAGTTAAAAGACGTAAGGAAGAGGAGGGAAACGGGCATTTCCTTATAAAAAGAGCTACTTCTGCATTGCAGGGGCAGGATTTTTAACAAGATCGTTGTTTACAGTGGGGGGTGGGATACTACCTGGTAGCTCCAGACGGCACAATAAAAGGTATCCTGAATTCCACTCTTTTTATCAGAACACCATAATTTTTTAAGAATCGCTTGCTGCGATTGTAAAACACATATTCCCATATCTTGTACTAGACCTAGCAAATGCCAGTAGAGGGTCCTGAGAATGTGTGTATAACAAGAGCTCTCGGGCGATTCTTAGCATCTGGCAATTTCAGAAATGCTGAATTAGGTTACGTTGCCTTTGTCTCGGAAATAGGAGCTTTAAAAAAAAGGGGGGGGAAGAGTAAGGTGGCCGCTACCACCGAATTATTTTTGCCAAATCTATTTAACCAGGTCCCCTCCCGCCTCTGCTACTCCCACTGTATCTTCTGTGCACCACAGTAGCGACCTAACCTTTGGGTTTTGGACAGATTCTTGGTCAAAGCACTTTATCCATTCTGTATCTACTTTCTATAATTAAGAAGGTTGCAAATACCAGCTCTGAAGGGCTATGGCTCTCATGTACCGATTCAACAGTTTAGAGGTTTTTTTTGTTTGCTACATTTGTAGATGTCTGTTAAGGTGTTCCCTCAAAGTTAGACCATGTGCTTGTTACACCAAGGTTTCTGAAAAGCATGGGAAGCAAAGCCTGATGGATGGCCCAAGTCAGAGATTGGCTGAGTGATCAAAGGAGTGATTAAGAGGATGATAAAGTTGTCATGTGGCACAATCATCACATTTTCAGAGTCAGGGGACTTTTTTTTTTTAAGAGTTTATTTATTTATTTGACAGAGAGAAACAGTGAGTGAGGGAACACAAGCAGTGGGAGAGGGAGAAGCAGGCTTCCTGCTAAGCAGGGAGCCCAATGCGGGGCTAGATCCCAGGAACTTCAGGAGACTTTATGCAACACAGAGGAGGTGTATGTAATGGGGACGCAGAAGGAGCCCAAAGAAACATTGTATTACAACTCTAGGTAACTGGCACCTGGTAAGACCCCCCGTTTTTTGGCTGAGCCTTATTCCTCCCCCAAAATCCTGAGAGATAGGCCTGCCCAAGCGTCAGAGTATAAAGAGAGCTTGAACCAAGGTCTTTTGCCTACTTCATTTACTCCTCTGTGAAAGGCAGCTGGGAACCCTGCTAGAAATCCAATCTTAGGGCTTGATCCTGGACTTTCAGGTCTGCCTTCCAAGGACTTGAAAACTGAATGTGAACATTAAGGTATGTGTTGTTCCCTTCGTAAGCTATTTTATTGCAAATTTTAAAAGTTTTAAATTTGATCTCGCACTATGGTCAAGTGCAGTCCACATTAATGACAGCTCCTGTCCTCACATTTGGAGACAAGCTCTAATAAAAACAAAAACAAATTTCTTTTCATAACCAGAGAAAACCAACTTCTGAGAGATGCTTTTCCTGGTAAAACTGACAGTAGCTGCCAATCGTGTACGTCTTATGGTTTTCAAAAATTTTTTTAAAGATTTTATTTCAGAGAGAGAGAGAGAATGAGAGAGAGAAAGCACGAGAGGGAAGAGGGTCAGAGGGAGAAGCAGACTCCCTGCTGAGCAGGAAGCCTGATGTGGGACTCGATCCCGGGACTCCAGGATCATGACCTCAGCCGAAGGCAGTCGCTTAACCAACTGAGCCACCCAGGCGCCCTGGTTTTCAAAATTTGTTTAATCTTCACAGAAAGCACTGTTAGGCCTATTCCACAAGCCCTAAGGGAAGAAATCAGGTTGAAAGGTTCAAGTTCTCTGAGCTACTTACTGTAGGCAGAAAAAGAGCTACCCCCCAGGTCTCCTGAACTTTAGGGGAATTTACCGAAACTAACTGGCCCTCAAAGCAACTGGTTTTTCTACTCTTCCCAAGCCACCCCACAGGCAACATTGTTGACATTAGCGCCCTGCAAGGCACAGCCGAAGATTTGGGGGTCAGGTTCAGAAAGTGTTTTGTCTTGAATTAAACTGAACCAAAAGAACACGGAATATCTCGTGCTAGCCTTTTGGATTAGCCTAGGACTCCCCTCTAGGTAAATGTGGCTGTTAAGATTGGGACAACACCCCTATCTATTCAGAAAACCTCAACCTTAAAAATAACTTTATGAAACTGTTTTCTGATAGGCTTTTCTGCACAGTCTCCCAAGAGCAGCAGGGAACTGATAAAAAAAGAATGAAATGTACTACGGTAAAAATGGCTTCACTCTGGGGGATGCCAAAGAGATGACAGCTAAGAACCCAGACTCAGAAGCCAATTGCCAGATGTTGAAATCATAGCTCTGGCCTCTGAGTGACCTTGGGAAGTTACTTTTCTGGAGCTGGTTTTCCCATCTGTAAAATGAGGGTAATAGTACTTAGAGCATATGGCAGTTGTGAGAACTAAATTATTGAATGTATTACCTACAACAGTGTTCCATAGTAAGCCCTTTTACTACTCATGAACTCTGTGAACTGACCAGCATTTAGTAAAAGTACCTGGTTCATATGAACCTGAGGTCTGTTGGATGAATTAAACAAGTAAGCTGCCTCCTACTTTCAAAGCACTATTTTAGGAGAAAAATGTGTCTAAAGAAACCAAATATGAGACTGGACAAGGACTAAAACTCACCACAGTCCAAGATCGGCTGAAAGAGCTTTGAATCCTCACGTCTAATTCCAGTTCTACCTAACCTGTTCCAGCTTCTTTACCTCATGGTCCTAAATCTGTGATTTGAAATTATATCCCACAAGGTGATCCAAATTCAATCTCTTAGATAGCTGAAAGAAGTGACCTAGGATGTGTATTTTGGTGGTGTTTAAAGATATCCGCCATTGTAAATAAATAGATGGACATTCCAGTTTTCAGAATCAATCTTGTGAGTCTAAGTGAATCAGTGCACTAAGTTCCTAAAACTGCAAAGCCAGAAAATAGCTGTGGCCCTAAAATGACCGCAAAGGGTACAAGGATACTTCCAGAGATTCCTATGTTAAGTATCAGGGTTAAAATAGTCTCTTAAAAGGAGGATTTTTCTGCTCTAAGGAATTAAAAGGGATTATCCAAAGCAACAATGTAAAACAAAACAAGTGACAAAATGGCTTTTAAAACTGAGTACTGCTTCTTTCTGAAGCAATATATACTTGCTTTGTAAAAGGTGAGGGGGGAGACTTAAGAAAAAAAAGGGGGGACAAGGAGGAAATTACCTACAATCACATTAATTTGGGGCGCCTGGGTGGCTCAGTCTTAAGCGTCTGCCTTCAGCTCAGGTCATGATCCGAGGGTCCTGGGATCGAGCCCCACGTCGGGCTCCCTGCTTGGCGGGAAGCCTGCTTCTCCCTCTCCCACTCCCCCTGCCTGTGTTCCCTCTCTCGCCATGTCGCTGTCAAATAAATAAAATCTTAAAAAAAAAAAAATCACATTAATTTTGTGGAAATCCAACTCCAGAATTAAGGTAACACTGCCTCTTCAGCAGGGTAAGAAAAGCTAAATTTCACATTTAAAATTGTATGTAATTATCATTCCCACTTATTTGATGGGCAGATATCCAGAAGTTTGTCAACACACTCTGCTGACAAGACATGGGGAACTGGTAGAAATAAAAACTGGCATATCCTCTGTGAAGGGAAGTTTGGCAACTCCTGGCCGAAGTACAAACCCGTTTACCCTTTGACACAGATACGCTTCTGTGAATTGCTGCACACATATATGATTCACTGTAGTACTGGTCACAAAAGCAAAAGGTTATAAACAACCCAACTATCAAAAGGAGACCCAGTTACGTAAACTATGGAATCTGGACCAGTGAAAACCACATACACAATGAAATGGGAACCATGCTGCTATAAAGAATGAGGAACTCTCTATAGGACAGAGTAATTGGATAAAATCATGTTCAAATCAGTATACCACTTTCTGTGTAAGAAAGTGATTAAAAATATATATATTTCTATTGGCTTTTTGTATTTTATATAAAGAAAACACTAGAAAAATAAATAAGAAGGTGATGTAAGGATTACCTGTAAGACCAGAGTGGTGGTGGAAGGAAGGGTGGTTACTCAGTCATGGGTCAGACCGACTGGCATGTTTCTTTGGGTATTTTCAACTTTTGAATCATGTGACTTACCTATTAAAAATCATTCAAAAAATAAACGGAACCTAGAAAAAAAAAAGTGGTAAGCTTCCTTTCCCCACCTGGTCTACTAAACCACTAAATCAAATACGGTGATTATCCACCAAGAATTGATATTCACCATTCATATGCCATGCCCACCCTTTACGTTATTGATGTTTCCAGAGAAAGTAGGTATCATAAAAATTCTTAACCTTCTTTGAAGGGTGAGGAGAGCTTGTGCTTTCATAAATCAATTAGCGATATGATAAATATTAACAATTTCTTTTTCCTTTTCCTAACTGCTCCAGTTTTCTCCAAGCTCCAAATAAATTCTAGCAGAACCCAGTTAACACGGCAGCTTATATAAAGTGTTAAACATTAGCTCTAAAATAGTTTGCCTCCAAATTGGTAGTAGGTATGTCTTTTTCCACACTGTATACCAGAATAAACATTTTTCTGCAGTCTGGGAGAGATACTCTAAATTTTTTAAATGGCTTTCAAATTATAAGCCTGTATGTTTTATAGCATTTCCTTCAAACAAAATCTATTGTATTATTCTGTAAAATGTGACCTCTAGCTTTCAACTGTGTTAAAGTGATAAAATGTAAATATTTGTGCTTTTGGATTATTTCCAAGATGAAAAACATGCAAAGTTAACATATTCACCAGGCCAAGTGGGCCTTGTCATCTATCTTCTCTGCTGCTAGAGCAGTAGTCTGTTAGGAGAAATTATATTAGAGATCCTCTACTCTTCATTTTACAGATAGGGAAACTACAGAGCCAGAGGGAATTCAGCAACTCACCAATCAGTTAATAACAAAGAAAGGAACCCATTTTCTCAAATGTCAATCCAGCACTCGACAGAACCAAACTACATTAGCATTTTATTTTTTTTAAAGATTTTATTTATTTATTCCTCAGAGACAGAGAGAGAGAGAGAGAGAGGCAGAGGGAGAAGCAGGCTCCCAAGGAGCAGGGAGCCCGATGCGGGACTCGATCCCAGGACCCTGGGATCATGACCTGAGCTGAAGGCAGACGCTTAACCATCTGAGCCACCCAGGCACCCACTACATTAGCATTTTAAACGGACAAATTATTTTCCTACTTGGAGCGCCTGAGTAGCTCAGTTGTTAAGCATCTGCCTTTGGCTCGGGTCGTGACCCCTGGGTCTAAACCCGCTACTCCCTCTCCCACTCCCCCTGCTTGTGCTCCCTCTCTGTGTCTCTGTCAAACAAATAAAATCTTTAAAAATATATACATATATATTTTCCTACCACATCCCTTCCTTTTATAAATGCAAGACCTGCAAGCCCCAATAAAATGAAGTTAAAGTATCTTTTCCCCTCCGATTCCTGCTAGGAAATCTGCATTAACTAAGTTACCAGCTGCCTTGCAGTTTTAAAATAGAAATTACCTTACTGAAGAGAGGGCTTGTTAATGAAATGGAATAATGAATGACTACTGCTATTGCTCAGATTAAGAAACTCCCCACTGCAATCTATCTAGCATGTCAATGACTTGATTCTGTTTCCCTAAGAACAGTCAAGCAGCAGCAATTACAAAAGCACCCATTTTTATTAATAGCTGAGTTTTAAACAGAAATTGCATGGAGGCTATTTACTAATCAACAGGAAACACCTGCAGCGGGCCACACACTGTAGAACTGCAAGCTTAAGGGAAGTTGGCAAGGCTAGTGTTTGCTTTACTGTTTTCCTTTTCAAGCATCTTCACAAGCATATACATTACTGAGGGCACAACAGTTAAAAGTTTGTAAGAGAATAAAATATTTCAAACACTCAACATGATGGTTTCCCCGCGATGGCATTTTTTAAAGTATTTGGCCAAGTGGATGTTACATTATAATGCTGGCTACAGTAAATTCAGACTTCCACTCCAGTTCTCAATCTACCAGACAATGAGGCTGGAATTACCAAATCAACAGGATTTCAGTGTAACTGGATCCTGTATGGATAGAATTACACAAGGCAATTAGATCTTCAGTTAAAACAATGAGGACTAAAGTAGCCACAGTCCAACACATCCAATTTACTTGACAGAATCAAAGGAACCAACTTCACAAGTCTCAATTTTTGAAAGCAAAGCAGTTATAAGCTTAAAATCGAGGATACAGTAAACTAACCTTATATCCTTCCCACCCCTTCCCCAGACATCACATTCCTCCTTCAAAAATCACTTTGGTAGGAGGGTGATGAGAAGACAACCAGGTTAACTGCTTGACTAAATGTCTCCACCAATTCCATACAAGAAATGAAACTGGATATCCTAGGGACTTCTGTCCTAGAAATGCGAAATCACATATCCAATTGGCCAACAAGGGTTGGCTGTACAGAATAACCATACCGATATAGAGGAAAAGCCAAGTTGAACTTTTCTTGAGTAAAACTACATAAAGATCATTTCTGCAATAGCTTTGATGAGATAAATGTTCACTTTTATAATGCAAAAGATAACACACTAGGTGAAGTAGGCCAAATGGCTTTACTTTAAAAAATGTGCTTCTTGGGGCACCTGGGTGGCTCAGTCGTTAAGCATCTGCCTTCGGCTCAGGTCATGATCCCAGGGTCCTGGGATCAAGCCCCACACATTAGGCTCCCTGCTCCGTGGGAAGCCTGCTTCTCCCTCTCCCTCTCCCTCTCCCCCTCTTGTGTTCCCTCTCTTGCTGTGTCTCTGTCAAATAAATAAAATCTTTAAAAAAATAAATAAAAAATAAAAATGTGCTGCTTAGGGAAAACCACCATGTTTGATACTTAAAATCTTTTCATTCTGGAACTGAATTAAGTAGGCCTGCCTTGCAATTTCAGTTTAATATTAGATTTGTTGTAATTTTTAAAACAAATAGATTATAAAATGCCTAACCAACTAGCTCTTGCCACTTATAAAAGGCCTAAATTTGGTATATCAAGACAGTTTACAAGTCATACCATCTCCTCCACCCTATCCCCCCAAAAAAATCGCAGTATCAATCCTGTGGATATTTTAAAAGTTTATTTCTATTTTAACTAGCCCGCAGACCCAATTCTTTGAGAAGTGAGCTGATTTCTTTCTAGCACATTGTCTATGGACCTTGCTCATAGTAACTTTCCTCCCATCCCCTTCTAAAAACGTCAGCACCTTCCATCATGATGCACATTTTAAGTTAAAATTGTCAATACAACCCTCAAAATGCAAGTTTATTGAATAAAGCTGAGAAGAGCAGTAAACAGACAAAAAATGCATCACCTAAATAAAAAAATTCACGTATTTACAAAGTTCAGTAACTGTTTTCACATGCAGAAGTTAATGCACAGGAAAATGTTGGTAGTAGAGTTTGGATGTCTTGAAATGCTGAAAGCAATGAACAGACACACAAACACGTTAAGTTTTAGCTATAGGTCAATTAACGAACCAACGCAGTCCCCACACAGTCATACACTTTAGTTCCAATTCCTCCTTTCAGGCACAAGCAAATTGCCACATTCTTTGTAATGGTTTACAGTAACCATTAATGGTGTTGAGCTACAGTAGCAAGTTTAAATATCCCTTCATTTACAGAACCATCCATCCCATCAGGGAAGTATGCAACATGCTTCAAAGAGTAAGAACAGAATTTTAAAAGCTGAGATTCTACTCATAAAAATGTGAATGGAGGAAAACAAGTAGTATCTGTGCAACACAGTGCAGTATTTTGTACAGAATATTGTTAAGGCCATGGCAGTCTATAAATTAAAACTGGTATTCATTAAAACAACTGTTGACTGCACTTTTGAGTGCTCAACATGTATGGAAACGCACTGTCTACATGAGTGCTGCTTAACAAAAGAAACAAAATCACACACAGTGTGAGGCAACACATAAGCAGGTGTAGCATAAAGTTTTATCTACTACAGTGGTTTATGTGAGTAACAATTTACAAGTGAACCATATTAATGTGTCCCTTTATGTATATGGACATCACTAAACTACAAAACATGTTTAAGTTTTTATACATCTCCGTATCGTAGAAGCAAACAATACACAGCATCAGTTCCTCAGTTCTCTGTGTGATTGATTATTAAACAACCTGTAGACGTTGCGCATGATTACATTAGACAGAGCAGGCAGGTCTAGAGTTGTCACAATAATCAAGATGTCTAATGGCACCAGACAAAACAGTGCCAAACCTTACATCAGTAAGAGAGAAAAATAAGAATTTGTATTTGTTTCTAAGTATCTATTGTGCTGAACGTCTATGACTGGATATAAAAAGTCAAGAGTTAGAGTGTCATGCAGCAGCACTGATTTAATGACTAGAGACAGAAAGAACAAACAGGTGTCTGAACAAAGTCTGACATTCTTAACACATTTTATTATATTGGCTAGAATGCTCTAAATTCATGAAAGCCTTTGAGAAAATCTTCAATTCCCAACCCTTTAAAAAAGTGTGTTGAACCCCACCCTCTCCAAAAAAGAGAAAAAGAAAAAGAAAAATGGAGAAGTAATGATCTGGACAGATACACAACAGCATGCCTTGGTTCCTCCCATATCCCCAGCTGCTATCTGGTGATGAAGAATTCTCAGAAAGCAGTGTTTTTAGAATTCATATACGATCTCACCAGTATAAAGAACCAATAACAACACTGATCTGGTGCCTCTGCTCACTCTTTGCAGACCATTTTTTAAATTCCTAAGGTGTAATTATACATTTCACATGCATTTGTGAGATATGTAAACATTATGTTTATATCCCACATGAGTCAGGCTAAAGGTTTTCTAAATACTGTGTGTGGCACTAGAAACTTCATGCTGTATCAAGTCAGTATCAGTATTAAGCTAATGGACTCTATAAGGAAATATCTAGACATTTACTGAAAACCAATATAAAAATCTGGCCCAGAAAGACTAGAACAGAAATATGCAATTTTCTTGATTTAAGATGGTCAAGTGTGTGTTTAAAAAAAAAAGCTCTACACACTGTTTAAGACAAGTATGTATAAGAAGCTTTTTTTGTGTGTGCTGACTTTATCATGACAACTCTAGCTGATTCTTTATGAAGGATTAGGGATACACATCTTCAGCAGTGCACAAGAGAAATAAACTCTGAAAAAGGCAATTTCTTGGGTTTAGGAAGGACCGTATTCTGGGAAGTACTTCAGAGGAACGGACAATAATTCTAGGATTATAGCCAGGAAGGACTGGAAGACTTCAGGAGATGCTTCAGCTTCTTCTGGATTTTGAATGTTGAATAAGCCACTGGAGTGTGATATCTAAAGATGGAGGGAAAAAAATTGAAGGCGTTAAGATATCAAAGTTAAGACACTAAACATGAGACAGTATTTAAAATGCAGCTAATTCAAAATACATGCTGTGCCTGCCCTCTTCAGCTTTTTGCATCTATATTATTCTCCATTACCTAAACTTCAAGAGGACATTCTAAGGAATTATGGAAGACTCAGCAGTCTCTGATTTAAAAGTTAAATTATGTTCAGGACAGCCTGTGCCATCTTTTATTCAAAAAAAAAAAAAATTACTGACTGCCTGTTAAGTACTGTATGTGAAGTGCCAGGAATGCAAAGATATGGGAGATCCCCTCTCTCCTCTCAAGGAGCTTTTAGTATCAAAGGTGGAAAACACAGAAGAACTCATTTGGGACTAGGAGGAGGGCGGCCCCATAGAATTCCAGGCAAAGGAAACAACAAAAGCAAAAGAATAAACAAAGGCATGAACAGTGTGGAGATCTAGATGGATTATATGTGGTAAGTTGTGGATGAAGCACAGGAATGGGGGAAGGTGCTGCCACTCATCGCTAAGGCTACAGCAGGGGTTCTCAACTTCACCTTTTTGACCTTTTGGACTGGGTAAATCTTTGCTGGGACAGGACGAAGGCCTTTCCTGTGCATGGCAGACTATTTTGCAGCATCCATGACCTCTACCCTAGATGCCATTATCACTTCCCCTACACACTCACAGTTGTGACAACCAATAATGTCTCCAGGGATTGCCAAATGTCCCCTGGGGAGCAAAAATGTCCTCAAGTGAGAACCACGGGCTAGAAGGAGCCAGATAACCTTGTATACCACTCTAAGATGCTAATAAGTTTGGGTTTTATTCTCAAGTCAACTGGAAATTACTGGAGAATTTTAAGCAAGGAAATTATATTATTTTAGGATGATCAATGGCAACAGAAGAGGACAACTTGGAGTTGGCAGTATAGACAGTGACGATCACAGCAGGAATAGGAAATGCGAAGGCACGAAGCAAACAAATGCTGTAGGGATGGAAGACGGAAAATGTGGAGTTGACCAAGATACGAACAGAGAAAGATCTTCTGGCCTCAGTGAGTTGTGTTTGTCATGGAGCTGTTGACACAGTGGTTAAAGAAAGAACAGACTTGAGGAAAACAAAAAGATAAAGAATTTAGTTATAGAGCACATCAGAGTTGAGGTGCAGAAGGTAACAGGCATGGAGATGTCCAGCAGATAGCTTTAGCTACACTGATCTCAAAAAGGGATGGGGACTGGTAAGATGTCACCATAGAGGTGGCAGCTGAAGCTATCACAGCTGAGATTAGCCAAAAAAAAAAAAAAAAAAAAGCACTTAGACTGACAAGAGATGGCAGCTAAGTCAAAACAGTGAATTTCTGTCCCTGAGTTCTTTAAAAATGTGTCATCCATATAAAGGGTGTGTGAGCATCTATTAGAAGCAGCACTCAATTCTCCAAACCTGAAGATGAGTGCAAATTCAATTTCCAAGCTAATTATGCGTTACAGAAACTGTAAGCCACACATGTAAAGAATAGCCTAGAGCTGAGATCTGAACAAATGGAACCTGTTCAGAGTTGTGGAAACAATAATTTAACCTGATTGTTGAACCAGATCATGCGCATTTTAAAAGGAGGACAGCAGGGGCGCCTGGGTGGCTCAGTTGGTTGAGCAACTTGCCTTCGGCTCAGGTCATGATCCTGGAGTCCCGGGATCGAGTCCCGCATTGGGCTCCCTGCTCAGCAGGGAGTCTGCTTCTCCCTCTGACCCTCTTCCCTCTCGTGCTCTCTATCTCTCATTCTGTCTCAAATAAATAAATAAAATCTTTAAAAAAAAAAAAAAAGGAGGACAGCAGTATGTAGTAAGAGCAAAGCCACATTCATTAGAACTGAATGGGGAGAAAGGTAAATCTGAGTGTGAAATGCCCAGGTTTAAATATTTAAGAAATTCACTTAAAAAAACAAAGCTTGTCGACAGTGGACACATGTTATATTGCAAAGACAAATGGATCCTTAAGACTAGATAAAAAAGCAGAAAAGAAATAAGATACTCAGATGAAGGAGTCATCTTCCATGACAAAAAGGGCCACAAGTATGAGTCATCTTTGCAAAGATCATGTTCACAGAAGTAATCTGTTCTATGTGTGATGTGAGGACACATTACTAAAGTATTTCATATACCACACTGGTAAGGTAGAAGGAGAATATACAACCCATGTGGACTGAGATACTTTTGGAACAATTTAGTAAATTCATAAATTCGGTTCTAAAATATGTTGTAAAAGGTGAAATTAGGGAGGATGTTCTGATTTGACTACCCAAGAAGTCTAATCTACTTGGCCCTTAGTTGTATTTCTTGCTCCAAATAAACAGGCATTCTCATTTACAAACTACTTGTTTTGAATCTAGTTAGAGTGGATCCATTTCCTTGAGCTTGATACTACTAAGTGAAGCAGGAGTTCTACCATCACAAACTGTGACTATGGAGCTCTATGACAGACTATGAGGTCAGCCTCAAATAACAAAAGAAGTATTCACCAACTCTCCCGCATTTACTTCTTAAATGAGCTCACAAGGTTTTTTTCCAGGAAAGTATCCAGCTGGTTTGTCAAGGTAGTAAAACAAAGGATTTTTTTCTCTCCTTTCAGTAACTTTTTTCCCCTATTTTATGAAATACTAGAGAGAATATAAGGGAGTAAAATGGATTTACAGAATAGCACAATGCCCTACAATTATGGTTAATGTATGCAGAACAGGGTTTTTCAACCTCACCACTACTGATATTTTAGGCTGGACAATTCTTAGTTGTGGGGACTGTAACATGTTTAGAACATCCCTGGTCTTTACCCACTAAGTGCCAGCATCACACTCTTCGTTATGACAACATTTGGCAGTGTCTCCAAATATTGCCAAATGTATCCTGGGGGAAGATCCTTCAATGAGAACCAGTGGTGTATAAGTAAATGCTCTCTTGGGGACACAAGAATTCCTCCTAACATGGGGGTGGGAGAATTTTTTTTTTTTTATGAACTCTAAGTAACCCTAAGTGCTTGAAGAGTCTGTTCTCAAATGCTCACACTATAGCAAGTCACTTAGTCTACCCCTTTAATAGAGGACAGTTTGTGCCCAACAGCAAAGTATTAGGCTCAGATTGCTTTTGGGCGCTCTTTAAAGGAAGCCCAGGAGCACCTGACTAGTTCAGTGCGCAGAGCACGTTACTCCTGATCTCAGGGTTGTTAAGTTCAAGCCCCACGTTGGGTGTAGAGTTACTTAAAAATAATAAAAATGAAAAATAAATAAAGGAAGCCCAGAATTAGCCAGAAAACTATCAACACTTTGAGGTCATCAGAGCATGTTTGAGGAGGGGTGAGGAAAGAGTTAATAGACTAGAACTGACTTGGGAAAAAAGTTAACTATGATGAGAACCAATACATATTGAATGAAGGCTAAAGGAAAAAAAGATAACAATACCTTTTAAACACACTGTGTTGGCACTATGTATTACATCCTACTCCAATACAAGTTTTTGGTTTGTTTGTTTGTTTCTTTTTAATTGGAGGTGTGACTATGGGGGAATGGTCAGAGATACCATGTTTTTGGCTTTGAAGATGGAGGAAGGAGCCATGCACCAAGAATGCAGGCAGTACCTAAAAGCTGGAAAAGACAAGGAAATGGAGTCTCTCCTAGAGTCTCCAAAAAGAGTACAACCTGTCATTTTAGTCCTTGATTTCTAGCTCAGTGAGAACTATGACAGGCTTCTAACTGACAGCAGCAATAGAAAACTAATACACCCACATGACATCCACCATATGTCAAATGCTGCAATGCATTTTCACATTCCCTCTCACAAGAGAATTTCTAAATTGCTGCCATTATCACCATTTTATAGAGGAGTAAAAAGTGGAGATTAGGGAGGTTATGTGCTTTGTGCAAGGCCAGTCAGAAAATAAATTAGGACCAAGTGTTCTGGCCTGAGGCTGGCTGACTCCAAAGCCCATTGCTGCTCAGCGGGGACTCCAAAGCCCATTGTAGCCTATTATGCGGCAATGACAGACAACCTCATTTTTCTGTAGTGGCCCACAGAGCGATTTTTTTTTTCACCAGTGACCACCAAACTGGGAGAGGTGAAGGTGCCATGAAAATCTCTAGGCTCCTACCCAGCTGCTTCAAGGTACATGCATTAAACTCTCCTCTCACACTTTGGTTGAACCTGTCATGCCAGACAAGAACTGTGTGACTTAGCCTGAGTAGCTTTTTGTCATGAAGGTACACTTAACCAGTGAGTATGTTTTATTGCACTGTTACAGGTCTTTTCAGTCAAACAGCTAACAGGTTGAACAGCCTTTCATCTTGTCAAACGTTTCTATTCATCTTTCCTTTTTACCTTTTGATCCTTTTCACCCATTCCAATCCACTTTTATTAAATAACCTCTCACAATTAGTTAAACTGAAGTTCAGCCAGATATACTTAAATTCTTTAAGGACACTGTGTTGGACTAACAGTGTCCCCCTAAAAATTCACACCTACCTAAAACCTCATAATTTATTCAAAAATTGTCTTTACAGATATGAGGTCATACTGAATGAAGGTAGGCCCTAATCCAATGATATGTATCTTTCTAAGAAGAGAAAATACACACAGAGACACACACAGAGGAGAAGGCTATGTGAAGCCAGAGGCAAAAACTGGAGTGAAGCATCGCTATGTCAAAGAATGCCAAAGGCAGCCGGCAACCACAAGCTAAGAAAAGGCAAGGAAGGATATTCCCCAACAGCTTTCATGGCCCTGCTGACACCTTGTTTTTGGACGCCTAGCCTCCTGAACTTGAGAAATAAATTTCTGCTGTTTTAAACCACCCAGTTTGTGGTACTTTGCTATGGCAGTTCTAGGAAATTAATACAGACAATAGATAAAGAATACTTTTGGCTTATACTTCCAACAGAGTACTAACATTACAGTAATATACTGGTTCAATAAATGAACAATTGTTTCAGTGCCTATAGACCAATTTTTGTAAAGTCTTCAAAAACATTTTGTTATAAAGCACAGCTGGATACTAGCTCTGCCAAAATTAATACAATAAATTGGTATCACATCATATTTTAACTTCATGTCTATTTCATTTACTTCTTTAAATAGCATAGAGCACATTCAGGATGTTGTTTTACTGTCAAAAGATATAATGTCTATTCTCTTTCCTGAGGCAAAAAAACAGTCCTCTATAAAAGAAGTCACTTAAACAGAAATGGAGATAATAAAGAATAAGAAGCATTAAGACATCCCTTCCAGTGATACCCATTTCTTCCACAGTCATTTCTTACCTATATTATCCTTTTCTTTGCAAGAAATTGAATAGCAGCAAATTTCTCTATCCTGAATAGCAGACAGGTTCCTATAAGAAGCAGAATTAAGCCAATTAAGTCTGCTTAAAATAACTATCATACCTATCACTCTTTGTTCAATTTTCTTATCTTTTTATACTGAGGAAATTATTTTACTACAAAATTTTAGAAATTCACTTCTCTGGTAGGCCAAATTTACCATGTTTACCCAAAAACATGGCTATTATCATTACTAAATAACAGGAGGGCCTGGCTGGCTCAGTCAGAAAAGCATATGACTCTTGATCTCAGGGTTTTAAGTTCAAGCCCCACAATGGGTGTAGAGATTACTTAAAATCTTCAAAAAAATAATAATATAATGATGCTAAACAAAGCAGTGGGCAAAATAGTATAATTTAGGGGTGCCTGGGTGGCTCAGGCGTTAAGCGTCTGCCTTCAGCTCAGGTCAGGATCCCAGGGTCCTGGGATGGAGCTCCACATCAGGCTCCCTGCTCTGCGGGAAGCCTGCTTCTCTGTCTCCCTCTGCCCCTGCTTGTGTTCCCTCTCTCGCTGTCTCTCTCTGTGTCAAATAAATAAATAAAATATTTTTTAAAAAGTATAATTTAGAACCAATTTTTTTTAAACACCATCATTCATTCTTAAGACATACATTTTTTCAATTAGCTGTTTCTCATCCAAGGCATTAGGAAGATCTCTCTTGTTTCCAAGTACGAGCACCTTTAAAAAAAGAAGATATTAACAATGAACTTTTATGTAAGAAAAGGTCACAGAAGCATATGATAGTCATATTTGTAGACATTAAAATTGGAATGCTACCACATGCCATAATATTGAGGCATATTTGTATAACTGGTGGCCTATCTCATTTATTTAGTAATTCAAATTAGCATTCATCTCAACTTCTACCGCAAAGATGCCCCAATTCAACATGTGGCTGCCAATTTCTACTAAAATATTCTTAAGTCTATGGTATGTATTCTGCAATTTCTAAATAAATCTCTACCATAATGTGAATATGATCTTAACACAACCAAGAGGAGGGGGAACAATTTTTTAACCATTTTTTATGTTAGCCATTAATCATATGAACACATAAATTTGCTATTAAAATTCCTGATCCATCATACAGAATATCATGTATAAATATTCTAAGACAATGGTTAAGTCTGGAAATCAGGATAAATATAGCAGTCATAAGCTCTAGGAATAAACGGTATCATCTGGTTGCTAGATGTGCTTTGAAAAGAAAGCAGAGAGAGGCTTCTCAATCACCACTCTATCTTTTCTCAGTTAATATCGTTCTTTCTGCCTTAGAGAAAGCAAAGAATATGAGTACATATAACTAATATTTGAGAATATACGTATTCTCAATCAGTGTTCTCTAAGAACAGGTAATCTTTGACCCACCTCAACCAAGTACATGCCATGTCTACCTTGCCATACCTATTTTCTTTCACTTACTACACCCCCACCCCCACCCTACTCCATACACTTTGACCATTTCTACTCACAGGACCTAGATTCTTACTTTGCACAAAGGACAAAGAGACAAGGACAGAGGCACAGAAGAGTCAGGGACACCGGGAGCTCACAGGACAAGGTTAAACCACAGCCTATCTCCTGTTCCCCAACTTTCACCCCTCTCCATACTCTTATTTAAGTCACACTAGATTCTCAAGCTGGACCTGCCTGAATTTCTAAAAATAATATCATGGCCATTTGTGATCAGCTGTCAGTTTGGGGGTTGCCTGGCATTTTAGCCCTCTTACTACATTTAAGAACTCTCCTCCTACCTTATGAACCTGCCTCCCAATAAGCTACTTGCTTCTATGGATAATTTTTTCCCCAGCTTTCCTTTCTGCTAGAGCATGGACACTTAATCTAGAATGAACCAAACCTTTCAATGCAGAGGCAGTGATGCAAGAAAGCAGGAGAGAGAACCCATTCTGATAGGGAAAGGGAATCAGCTAGATGACTTTCCAATCAGAACAATTGTGTCTAGTGTTCAGAAACTGCATGTGGTCACCAGACTTACTCTGTGGTGTGAGTCTGGATGTGACCCTGGCAGCTGCTTAGCTTCCTTGTTCCAGCCTATTTCCTGTGCCTACTTACGTGCAGCCTTCTCCGAGACTCTGTGAGCTACCCAATATCCTTTCATTGAATTCCTTTCTACTTATGTCAGCCTTCTGTTGCTTGCAACTAAGAAGACTTATGGTGACCTTAAGGTAAGACTGATTTTTACCTATGGTAGGTATACAGAACTAAGTTTTAACACAGGAGACAAATAGGCTTCGAAGACATGGATTCGAAACCAGGTTGCACAACAGGTAATGTTACCATGTAACCCTGAAGAACAACTGTTACAAAGGAGGGATAACCACGAACCTCATTATGTTGTAAGGATAACCTGAGATAATATACCTCAAGTATTTGACATTCATGAACTCGTGATGAGGCTAAAGCATGGTCCTTTTCCAACATTCGTCAGCTCAACAAATGGTACCCCTTCCACCTAACTTCATGAACCAGAAACTAGGAATTATATTCTTTACATCTCCACTTCCAACCCATTACCAAGTCTGGTTGACAGCATTCCTAAGTATCACTAAAATCTGTTTCCTTCTCACCATCTTGTCTACTACCACCCTAATCCAAGGTACTATAATTTGCCAAGATAATTTCAAGAGCATCCTAAAACTGCCCTCCTTATAGTCCCCCTTGCCAATTTAATCCATTGTCAGCATGGATCTCTGCACTCAGGGCAGAGTCTGCTTCTGCCCCCTCTCCCCCCACCCCCACGTACTCGCTCTAATAAATTAAATCTAAAAAAAAAAAAGGGAAAGAAAAAAGAAACACTTCAGAAATAAAGTTTTAAAACACTAGCAACAGCTTCCCACACAGTCCAGCCCCGCCTCCTCTAGTATCCCAGCTGCCGCATGGCTCACCACTCTCCCCACCCTCTCACTTTGCTTTTGCTCTAGGGAGACGGCCTCCTCTTAGTGCCTTGCTTCCTCCTACCAAAAGGCCTTTGTCTACAACTCTCTTTTCCTCCAATCATCCCCTCCCTCACGTGTCTACATATCCCTCACAATTCAGCTCAAGCATCACTTCCTCAGGGAATCCTCCTTTCTTCCCTCAAACTAGATCAAATATCCCCTCTAATTTATAACTCTCATGGCCCCTGGTACCTCTCCTTCACTGCACTTATCGGAGCTCTTTTATTCCAGTGATTTCATGGCATCTACCTTTCCTACTAAACCATAAGCTCCATGATGGCAGGGAGCATACTCCTATTCACTTTGTATCCCTAGGACTGAGCACTGCCCCTATTGTATATAGTTTAATAAACAGCTGGTTAAGAAATGAATAAATAGCACAGTGCCCAGTATATGGCTAGTATTCAGTAAAGATAAGCCTTTGAAGATTTTAAGACATTTAACTGATTTCAAACATAATAAATCATAATTATAATTTTAATAATATAATTATAAATCTTATATAACAAGAACTCCATACTTACTGGAATTCCTTGTAACTGTGGTTTATCTAGAAGATTATGTATTTCATTTCGAGAGGCTTCTATCTTTTCATGATCGGCAGCATCATTTTAATAATATAATTATAAATCTTATAATCATGTAATATAAAATAACAAGAACTCCATACTTACTGGAATTCCTTGTAACTGTGGTTTATCTAGAAGATTATGTATTTCATTTTGAGAGGCTTCTATCTTTTCACGATCGGCAGCATCATTTTAATAATTATAAATCTTATAATCATGTAATATAAAATAACAAGAACTCTATACTTACTGGAATTCCTTGTAACTGTGGTTTATCTAGAAGATTATGTAGTTCATTTCGAGAGGCTTCTATCTTTTCACGATCGGCAGCATCTATCATGTAACTTAAAAAAAAAAGTGATTTCAATATCTCATCTCCGAATTTTCTGACAGTCACAATTAGGGATAAAGATTTTTAATTTTCAGATTTACACTACTAAGGGGCACCTGGTTGGCTCAGTGGGAAGAGCATGCGACTCTTGATGTTGGGGCCGTGAGTTTGGGCCCCACACCGGGTGTAGAGTTTACTTAAATAAATAAATAAGTAAATAAATAAACTTTAAAAAAAAGATCACTGAAATTGTTAATCAAAGACCTAAAGAAAAGCTCAGTACCCAAAAATACTTTTAAATAGACTATTTAGATGCTAATACATGATAATAAAACATTTATATCCCTTAGCTCTTAGCTGCTTAAATAAAAAAAAAAAACTCTCATTTATAATTAAATTTGTTAAAGTTTCATATTAATGGGATTACACTAATAAAGACTGTTATTGATGAAATAAAAATTGAGCCTTTGGAAGTATTAAAAACAACTTTTTTCCTGGAAACCTAAACTGACTTTTTTAAGCAATGCTTACACAATGGCATTGACTCCTCTGCAGTACCGCTCCCACATGCTCCGGAACCTGGGTTGTCCTCCTATGTCCCAAATCTTTAAATCAAGACAGACAATTCTTAAAAAGGTATTTTAAGTAATACATTGAAAGAAAAAGTAGAGAAAGAGCAGGCAGATATGCCCATGTCCACAATGTTAGAGCCAAATTACTTCTGAAAAACTTAGGCTGAAACAAGTTCTTAATCTAGAAGCTCTTGGGTCCACTTCTAAACTTGAAGTTCATATTTAATATGTTTATACTGTATCTAGTCAGTTCTACTAAAGAAAATTTTGTGCAATACTTTCTTTGCTTGTTAACCAATAAATTTCTGTATTGAAAAGTTTCAGCATGTACCAAATTACGCATCATCCAGATCTGAATGCCAAAAGAGAAAAAAACAGAAAAATTTCTATCTGTATATGTTAACAATTTAAATCAAGTATGGTAAAAAGATCACATACCTTTATTGTGACGTTACCTTTAGTTACTTTCCTCATGTTGAAGCCCACCGTGGGGATCATATCTTCACTGAATTGACCTGACTGAACAAAAGAAAACATCTGAAGTTAGAATAATATTTATTAAGACATATAACACGGCATAAACTTCAGGCATTAACAATGCTTTTATAACCATTTTAGTATATTATGTAACTAATTTTTTAGTGGTGGTAACAATCTGTCTTAAGAAAACATTCTTTGTAAGTGCGCCTGGGTGGCTCAGTGAGTTAAGTGTCCACTCTTGATTTTAGCATAGGTCATGCATGATCTCAGGGTTGTGAGATCAAGCTCCTCTGCACTGGGTGTGGAGCCTGCTTAAGATTCTCTCTCTCCCTCTCCCCTTGCTCCTACCCACCCTCCTTTAAAAAAAAAAAAAAGGAAGAAAGAAAACATTCCTTTTAGACACAGTTCTTGAAGAGATACATTATTTCCTTCATCCAAACACATTCCATTTTTTTTTAAAAGATACTTTTAGTAAGATTTTAACTTTTTACATATTTCCTCCCTCTCCCTTTGCTGCTCCCCCTGCTTGTGCTCTCTCACTCTGTCAAATACATAGTCTTAAAAATAGATTAAAAAGAAATATTATATTACAACTATAAATGAAAATTTATTAATTTCCCCACCTACATATAAATGTTCACACAAAGTAGGAAATCAGAAGTAAATCTTCAAAGTTTTCCCATTTTACCATTTAAATTACTTTGACAATTTACAACTCACTGCTAAACAGCTTTTCCAAGTTTGTCTTTTAACAAGACATATTCTATCATTGTACAGGTTTTCCTTTTATGTAATCAATTCTGTTCTTTTTTAGCTTATGACCTTCTCAGAAGACTAAAATATTTTCTAATAATATTTGAATGCCCTTTAAAATTTAAAATGTTCATCCATCTGGAATTTGATTTTACAGTGCAAGAAAGTTCCTTTTCTCAATCATCTCACTCCTCATTTAAAAATCCACACATTCCTAACTAATTTGAAGTGATGTGCCAAATGCCGTAAGAGACACTTCTATATCTGAGTCAATACTTTTCCACTAGTCTGTTTATTCCTAAATTACGATTAAATGAATTACTGCAGCTTGTACAATTTCTCATTCTATACAGAAGATCAAGAATTTGGAATGTTTTCAAAACTGTCTTAGTTCATCACTCACATTCCAAATAAACTTCAGAAATTCATATTTCAGTTAAATATTGACTAGAATTATATTAACTGTACTAATTTGAGAAGGATTGCCCTATATCAATTCTTTATATTTAACCACGATCAAATTTCTCCATCCAGGCACATGGTTTGTTCATTTAAACATTCAAATGTTTTATATCCTTCACTAAAGTATCATAATTCTTGGAAGCCCGGGTGGCTCAGTCATTAAGCATCTGCTTTCAGCTCAGGTCATGATCCCAGAATCCTGGGATTGAGCCCCACATCAGGCTGCCTGCTCAGGGGGGAGCCTGCTTCTCCCTCCCCGACTCCCCCTGCTTGCGTTCCCCCCTCACTGTCGCTGTCTCTCTCTCTCTCTGTCAAATAAATAAATCTTTAAAAAAACAAAGTATCATAATTCTCATAATAGCTCTCACATTTCTTATCATATCCTTTATTTTTTTTTAAGATTTTATTTATTTGAGAGAGAGAAAGGAGGACAAGCAGGGGGCGTGGGAGAGGGGTGTGGGGATTAGAGAGAGAATCTCAAACAGACTCCATGCTGAGCACAGAATCTAGTGCAGGGCTCAATCCCATGACCCTGAGATCATGACATGAACAGAAACTGAGTCGGATACCCAAACGACTGAGCCACCCAGGTGCCCCTCATATTCTTAATTCTGACTACAATTACAAAGTACATCTGAGTCACAGCTAATACTGACTTTATATATTTACATATTTATAAATTTTATTTACCAAATATTAATTTCTCAGTTGACCTGACTCTTATTTTTAGGTAAACAGCCCAGAATTATGAAATCTCGCAACAAAGGAATGGTTAAACACATAGGACTATTTTCAAGGCCAACTGTCTACAAGTACTGAGCACAATGAATTCCAATTTTAAAAATTAATTTCCTCTACATAACTCCAAAGTTCTCTGTTCCCCCCCACCCTGCCCCACATTCAGTGGTGTTCAGGCTGATTTCAGAAAAAAGATGTTAACCACAATCACTACTTTCATTTATATTAAACATTATAATTCTCAGAACTTTCACATATGATTTATATGTGGAAATCTAGTCATGACATCAAAACTATATATATTGAAACTAGTAATGATACAACAACAAAAATATAATCTGATTAGAAGGGGAGAAAAGGCAACAACAAAGGCACTATCCATAAAGCAATAAGGTGGGCTTCATTAAAATTAAAAACTGCCATGTGAACAAGATTTAGAAGAGTTACAGAGTTAGAAAAGAGGCACAGAGTAAGAAAAAATATTTGTAAAAAGATACATCCAATAAAGGACTATTATACAAAATATACAAAGAACTCTTAAAACATCAATATGAAAAGAAAAAACCCAATTAAAAAATGAGCCACAGACCTCAACCAATACTTCACCAAAGAAGATACACAGATGGCAAATAAGCATACGAAAAGATAGCGCACATCATATGTCATCAGGAAAACGCAAATTAAAATGAGATACCACTGATACACTTATTAGAGTGGCCAAAATCTGGTACACCGATAATACCAAATGCTGATAAGGAGGTGGGACAAAAGCAATTCTCACTCATTACTGGTTGGAATGCAAAACGGTACAGCCACTTTCGAAGACAGTGGCGAGGTTTCTTACAAAACCAAATATACTCTTACCATTCAATCCAGCAATCATGCTCCTTCATATTTATCCAAAGATGTTGAACTTAAGTCCACACAAAAACCTGCACATTAATGCTTACAGCATCTTTATGCATAACTGGTAAAACTTGGAAGCAACCAAAGTGTCCTTCAGTAAATAAATGTATAAAAAGACTGTGTCATATCCAGGAAATGGATTATTATTCAATATTAAAAAGAAATGAGCTACCAAGCCACAAAAAGACATGACGGAATCTTAAAAACATATCTAAATGAAAGACTCAATCTGGAAGGACTACTTAACTCTGATTCCAACAAAATGACTGAACACATGACTCTAGCAATATTCTGAAAAAGGCAAAACTATGGAAACAGTAAGAATATCAGTGGTTGATAGGAACTGAAGGGGTGGGGGAGGAAATGAATAGGCAGAGAAGAGGATTTTTAAGCAATAAAAAACTCTGTATGATACCATAATGATGGATATATGTCATTATACATTTGTCCAAACCTATAGAATGTACAACACAAAGAGTGAAAAAATAATGTAAACTATGGACTTTGGGTGATTATTATGTGTCAGTGTAAGTGCGTCAATTTTAACAAATGTACCACTCTTGTGTGGGATGTTGATAATAGGGGAAGCTGTGAGTGTAGGGGCAGGAGGTATATGGATAACTCTACCTTCCCCTCCTCGATTATGTTGAGAACTTAAACTGCTCTTAAAAAAAATTTTTTTTTTTTTTTTTTTTTTTTTTTTGAAAGAGAGAGAAGCAGGCTCCCCGAAGAGCAGGGAGTCCAATGCGGGGCTTGATCCCAGGACCCTGGGATCATGACCTGAGTTGAAGGCAGACACTTAAGGACTGAGCCACCCAGGCATCCCAACAATAACTTTTTTTTAAATGGGCAAAGGACTTGAAGAGACATTTCTCCAAAGGAAATATACAAATAGCTAATAAGAACATGAAAAGATGCTCAACATCACTAATCATTAGGGAAATGCAAATCAAAACCACAAAAGATACCACCTTCATACCCATTAAAATGGCTATTACCAAACAAAAAAAAAACAAAGTAACAAGTTACAGCAAGGATATGGAGAAATTGCAACCCTGGTGCACTGCTGCAGGAATGTAAAATGGTGCAGCTGCTAAGAAAAACAGTATAGAAGTTCCTGAAAAGGTTAAAAATAGAATTACCACATGATCCAGCAATTCTACTTCCAATTATAAACCCAAAAGCATTGAAAGCAGAGACTCAAAGAGATTTATCTGTATACCCATGTTCACAGCAGCATTATCCATAACAGCCAAAAGGTGGAAGAAACCCAAAGGCAACTGACAGATGAATGGGTAAACAAAATGTGGTTAATTCCTACAATGTAATATAATCCAGCCTTAAAAAAACTTACTCATGCTAAAACACAGATGAACCTTTTGAAGACATTATACTATAATAATATAAATAAGCCAGATACAAAAATACTATATAATTCTACTCACATGAGAAACCTAAAATAGTTAAATTCATAAAGACAGAAAGTAGAATGGTGTTTGCCAAAGGCAAGGGAGGAGGAGGAAATAGGGAGTAACTGCTTAGTGGGTATGGAATTTGTTTGAAATGATTAAGAAGTTCTAGGGGTGCCTGGGTGGCTGGCAGTTAAGCCTTCAACTCTTGGTTTCGGCTCAGGTCATGATCTCAGGGTCATGGGATGTAGCTCTGTGTCGGGCTCTGGGCTCTGCCTGGCGTGGAGTTGGCTTGAGATTCTCTCCCTCTCCCTCTGCCCATCCTCCTGCTCTCTCGTGCTCTCTCTCTAAATGAATGAATAAAATCTTTAAAAAAAAGTTCTATAGATGTATGGTGGTGATGAACTTAATACTACTGAACTAATTGTACACTTAAGAATAGTTAATATGCGGAATACTACTCAGCCATCAAAAAAACCCAAAATCTTGCCATGTGCAATGAGGTGGATGGAACTAGAGGTTACTATGCTAAGCAAAATAAGTCAATCAGAGAAAGACAATTATCATATGATCTTGCTGATATGTGGAATTTAAGAAACAAGAGAGGATCATGGGGGAAGAGAGGAAAAAATAAAACAAGACAAAATCAGAGAGGGAGACAAACCATCAGAGACTCTTAAGCATAGGAAACCAACTGAGGGCTGCTGGAGGGGAGGGGGGTGGGGGAATGGGGTAACCGGGTGATGGCCATTAAAGAGGGCACATGATGTA